TGATTTTAAATCTGTTAACCAGAATTTTCCATGAGTGGTCTGTGTAACCTAGGTTTTGATCTCAGCTACCCACTGTACTAATCCGAGCTTAATATCCTCAAAACAACTCTTCATACAAACTTTTGAGCAAATAATAAACACATAAACCCTTCTATTTTTTTTAAAAATACTTTGGCTCAAATTGTGACATTTAGTGCACCGATAACCGGTTTTAACTCCCCAGAAAAGAATTCCCTTTGTGACCACGACGGACTGGTGAATCATTTAAGAAAATTGTTGTAAAAATATAGAAATATATTCATTACAAATAAAAAAGATCTACTTTATTCAGTTAATAGTTATAATATAAAGTTTATATAAAAAGAGACTTATATAACATGACATCAAATTATTTATCATTTTAAAAAAGGTCCGAACAAGTGATAATGCATATTCATGAAAATTTTTCTAGTATCCACTTTGCCTGATTTTACCTTTATCTGATTGAAAACAGTCGCATTAAGTCATTTTAGAAAATCTTGAGAATTGTGAACATTCCCCAGGTGTGTTGCGAAATAACACACATTTTTATTTAGTTTATCGCAACACATTTTCAAAATGTAGGTACATGTACTGTATGCATCCAACAACACTTTGTCAATTCACAAAAATTGATAAGATATGTAAAAATTATTAAATGTTAATTACAATAAGTGTACGTCATTAATAATGTCATGGTACTAATATGTCTCGGTTAAATGGTATCAAGCTAGCTGAAAGAAACAACTGATCACGTGTCCATCTGTTTGGCACTTAATGTCTTGCCAGTCAGTATACATCACATATTGTGTAATGTTACATCATATATGGATACTATTTATTTCCTCAACATCATGTTGTTTCAACTCATATTATTGATAAAAAAGTCGTTTAATGATACTTTAAAGGACTTTAGTAATACTGTTGATGATTGAATTATTTTCTTACATCAAATCACGTTTCACGTACTAACTACTTAAAGTTATACCAAAATTACTATGTTCCGGACGACAAAGCTTGAAATCAAGTTTAATTAAGTCTGTAAGTATGAGAATAGAAAGAGAATATTAACCACAAAATTCGCCTTAACGACATTTAATTAAGGAGTTAAGTGCTTAAAGAACGAAACTAGCAAACCTTCATATACTTTAATCGAGTATTTAGAGAAAGATATATCCAAGTGGGTCAATTTAGCACACTTAAATGCAAAAGACGGTTAAATTCTTATTCGTGTCAGAATTACTTACGCATCATTTAGGATCTTTCGAAAATGAAAGACCCTAATTATTGCACAAATGAAAAAAATTGATCCTGCAAATTACTTCAAGTGATTGGGAAAGGGACTCGAACTCGTGATTCTCAGACATCCGTGTCGCTTATTTGTTGTTTGTCGTATTTTTGCTGCGAAGAGCATCATGAAACATGAAAATAAATTTGTCTTTGCCGAGTGTCTACGTTGTTTTATTTCGAGAAGCAAAAATGTTACCCATGCTGTCTCAAACACTTACAGGCAAAAAAAAAAAAAAAAAAAAAAAAAAAAACGAAACAAAAATCAAAAATGATTTTTTCTATTATCATTTTGCGAAAATCCCGGAACAACAGTAACAATTGTTTCCCTATTGATGAAAGTTATCAAAGCATTTTATAATTTTTTGAACCAAAAATCAGTATTCTTTTTTTATTCATCACTTTGAGTTAACTTTTATTTTAATCATCCTTTGCTTCAATTAATGAATAAAAGTATATATTCTAATCCAAACATAAATATACATTTGTTCTTGTCTGGTTAATATTAAATAACAATTTGTGGAGTGCCAAAATGTTCTGGCATACAATGGCGTTTCCCCCGGAATATAATTATTTCAATTATAAGAGTGTAAGAACTTTTCAATATTTCTTTTAAATGGTTGCATAGCATTAAAAGATGATTGCCTAGATTATGCAGCGATATTAGTGTGTGCTTTTGTCCAAGGTAATTTAAGTGTAAATTAATGACCCATGTATGTATATACATTGAAGAGACATTAAAGTTTACAAAACTGCCGTTTTACAATTATTTTTCAAATGATCTGAGCAGTCCGCCATTTTAAATATAATTACTTTTGTTTTAGTGTGATTTAAAAACAGTTCGGTATTATTACAACATTCTGAAATTTAATTTAAATGTGTAGATTGTTACATGATCAGTGAAAAGAGTACATATAATATCAGGAATGGAATTTGATCCTCAGGAATGTACCGCGATGCGCCGAATTACGTAGGAAGGGAGATAATTCATTTAATCAAACATTAAATATGATTGTAATCGTTACATTTCTTTGCATTGTAACCATGTTACATTTGAACTATAACGTAGGTTTGATATTACCTACTTTACTTTCTTCTATGTACACATACACGGAGTTTTGAGTACATTGATAAAAAAACACGGAATAAATACCCTCTTACGTCAAATCTATTTATAGTATTAAATAAGTTAAAGAGTCCATCATGTGCTTTGTTATAATCTTCAAAAAAACCCACAAAATATTGTCATTTGTTTTACTTATACTATTTCTACACCATTGCTTTTAGTATGAAAATTCATACAGCTGCTTGGGATTTTCTAATTTTATCAAATACCTTAGCCTCTCTATATAGCCTTTCATATATAATATTAGAAAATATTGAAGAAAACTGAAATATGCAGCTAGAACTGCAAAATAACTTAAATACATAAACTCAACGTCAATATTAATTGATTTGAACTGTAGAAGTAATTGTTCGTTTATCCTTTAAAAATCAAGGTTACTGACATTGAAAAATATTTATAAAACTTAGATCTATTACACATCATTAATTACCTATCAGGAAAAATATCAATTATCTTAAGAACAAAAGAGATATTCTGAAAAGTACGTAATACAATAACTGTGATCTTTCATTTTGTTTACAATAAAAAACAATATAACGTTCTGTCGATATAACACCAAATATATTATCTTTATAAAAAATGCTGCTTTACAACAACAACCTCGATAAAATAATTTCAGTATCGGTATGCTATTAAGCTATAGGAATTAGGTTTAAGAAATAACATCGTCCTGAGAGGTGTATATCGGCTATTTAACACCGGTTTGGAGTTTTGATGCGTAAGAATTGACCACGAAGGCCGTAGGCCTGAGTGGTTAATTTTGTCGCATCAAAACGACAAAACCGGTGTTAAATAGCCGATATACACCTCTCAGGACGATGTTATTTCGATTCTAACACGATAAAATAAGGAAAATCACAAATGTTATTTTTCAAGCGGAAATAACTTCCGGTGCCGATTTTCGTATAACGCTGTTCGATTTTCGCATCCTACTGTTGCGAAGATATATAAATTATTAAACAAAAGAAATAATAAGAAAAAAACGTTATTTTATCAAGTTTTCAACATTAAAAACTTACGTCGTATTGTGTTTACATCAGTGCCCCATTTATCATTCCTGTATGTATGAAATAACGTCAGCTTGTTTATGAATGAGTTGTTTACTTAGGATGACGTCATTTCGCTGCTTACGGATTGGCGCCGTTTTGTCAAAATATTTATTAACTAATATGGATCTAATATATTGCGTTAGTGTATGTGAGATATTATTTCGGTATTGTATGGAAAGAAAACATTATACGAACAGAAAATATAAATTAAAATGCTTTTTATTGTTACTTTAAAATGCTTTATAAACTATACAATCGAGGGTGAAAACATAATAGCGCACATACAAAGAGTCCCTTACCGGTGTTTTTTGACAGTTTAACACCAGTTTTTTTCCTTCTTTGTCTATAGTGACAAAATCACGTGAGTGTTAGAATAGCTAATAACTTTATATCTGGAATTCACTACATGTATATCAAAAGTCATATTTGAGTATAAGGGTAAAACACGATTGGAGCTGTCAGGCTTGTCGTCTTCACTGGAAATCAACTGGACAAAAGTCATCAATAATCAAATCCGCAGAGCCACGATCATTTATTTTTAGGTTGGAGATAAATTTAATGGACTGTGTACGTAATGAACACATTTTAAATACCATGTAACAAATATTGAATTCAATCAAGCTGCTTGTATCGATCGAGTTAATGAGCTAATGGTTTCATAATACATATTATTTGCTCTGTGCTTGCACTTCTGACATAGTGATGATAATGTATCTCTATAAATTATTGTATTTGATTATACGTTTGACATATTTTATATTAATATCCGTCTTTGAAGGTTGAACATCGCACCAACACAGAATAGGATAAATGGTGGCGACTTTCCAGCTTTCCTGGTAGAGGAAAACTTCACATTTCCGTACAGTAAATTAGTCGAATGGGCACCTTAGTAGAACCATTGACGTCCTGTAAGCTAGCTGGATAGCTTCCATACATGAAAAGAAAACAGTCGAAGTTCAAATCCACAGCATTGAGGGGCAATACATACGATTTCAATTATCTAAACCACTCGACCATGTACGCCCTCTTTGTGAAAAAAGCAAGGAAATGGTATTGTTAAATAACTTTTGTGTAAGAGTACAACAGAGATTTTGAAAATAATGTGTTCGTATAAAAGCATGAGTTTATATAAAGAGTACTTTGTGACATAACTTGATTATTTATAAATACATTCAGATAAGCATTTTGAACTTTCAGTTTTATATATTTAAGTATATGTTTCTACATTATTATATTCTTTAAATATGTATGTGACGGTAACTTTGTGATTGACTTGTAATCTAAAGACTTCGGGTCATGTGAGTTTAAATCCTGTCAATGGTCTTATCAAATATGTATGCATTAAATAAAACACGCCAATGTCGTATCAAATATTGTATGCAGTGAATAAAACAAATTATTTGGCCTTAAAAAATGAGTGTTGGCGAACATTTTTTCTTTTCCACCAAAAGGTCGTTATATATCTCGGACAGTGTCGGTTTGCCGTAAACTATAAATGAATATACAAGTGACAATATGTGTTATTTTGGTTTAATTGTTTATTGGAAATACTATATATTTTAAATTAATAAATTTATAACAGAAATAATATATTTTCACAGCTTTTATTTTAATTATTATATAGAAAAACATATATTTCAAAAGCAACATATAGCATTTCATGGGCATAATGGGCATTTTAGCAAATGTACAAAAGCAAAACCATCGTTACGTATCTACATTCATGTTCTTTAGATTCTAGTATTAACTCATATACATAAAATAATAAACGTATAATTTGGCGACGTCATTGTGCGCTTTTTGGGTGGCTTGCATTTCAATATGCCTGTAGCATTATAAAAGATGCCAAATATCAACTCTTTAATTTACTTAGGCCTTCATTATTATACATTTATAGTAATTTTGACACAAAACATTAAACATGTCAAAGCAACACATAAACATAAAGTTGATGAGTTCATTTGGTTCTTGTGTCGTTTCCCAGTAAGCAAATTTATCGTTAAATTGTACTCTTTTCATCTTGAATATGCTTTGACCTTATCTGTTTAGTTTAACAGCAATCTGGATTAAAAACAATTACGTTTTATATAAATGTTGTAGTTATTAAAACATGAACATACAAGTGATTCCAACATTGTCATTTCATTGTAAGGGTTATGATAAAGGCATTCGGTCAAAATAATATTTACATGAAGCTCTTGGTGCCAAATGTCTTAAGGATATTGGTACAACGTTTAAACAAAGTAACCGTGTGACAGTGTCCGAACTCAGACCACGTATCGTTATTATGATTTCCAATTATTTCTGCTTCATGAGTAAGTTTCGTCATAAACGAAGTGCTTTTATTTTTTGAGTAAAACATCATAAGGAAAAATGAGTTATAAAATATAAAAATTAAAGAGACTTATAACTCCAAATAAAAGATAAAAATTCATATTTCACTAATTCACGCTTTCCAAGAAAGGCCACAGTATGTGTACTTAGTTAAAAAAACCCAATGGTATGCTTTTTTACTGTCAAGTAGGATATTTTTGTAAATAAACCAGTTGCTCATAACTAAAGAGCGATCTCCTGGGCGAGATGGCTACAAACTTGACAGTTATGGTTGAAATTTTTCAAAATTTTCATTGCATTATAGACATGACATCATCTTTAAACGTATGTGTTCATTTCAATACTAAATTTGCTAAATGGGAAACGCCGCTTCAATTCAACTGAAACTTAACCATAATTTATCAACTTTATCTTCCCGTGAGAAAGGTTAATCAACTTTACAAATGACTAGATTTTTGATATTCGATGCAGTCTTAAATAAAATACATAATTAGAAAGGTTTACACTTGTTCACTCTTTAATCGGCGACATGCACTAGTTCGGAAATAGCAACAGAGCGATAAATCGTGTACGTCCGACAAATGGAGCTCTTTTTTTACCAGGTGTTTACTTAAATAGAATAATAATGTTGACATAATACTTATTACAGTGTAATTGACTATTATGACTTAGCCTGCAGAAACCAGATGCGTTATTTATTGCAACCATTAGAAAGCTAGAGTAGATTGCATATCCATGAAGTCTGATCAAGATTTGAAGTGTTGCTATTAACTTGAGCCGCGTCATGACAAAACCAACGTAATGAGTTTGCAACCAACATTGATCCAGACCAGTCTGCGCATCCGCGCAGTCTGATCAGGATCCATGCTGTTCGCTATCAGTTTTGCTACTTGTAATAGGGTTGGTAAGCGAACAGCATGGATCCTGATTAGACTGCGCGGATGCACAAGCTGATCTGGATCCATGCTGGTCGCAAATGCATTATGTTGGTTTTGTCGTGACGCGGCTCATTTTTATCGTTTATAATTCTACTTTTAACTCTGAATTTGAAGCTGAGCGACTCCATTACTCTATTTTTGTCCGTTTGAGAAAAATACAGTATGAACTGAAAATGATCCATCTAAAATATTTAAGCAATATTAACAAACATACATGTACTTTGCAAAGTAATACACATCAAATGCATAACATAGTGGTAGCAATGTTAGAAAAAAACACACCATCACTTTCTTTCTTTGTACTGAATTTTTTTTTTAACATTAATGTTGTCTTTTTACTTTATTTTAATATTCATCCAATCTAGAAGTTCATCAGTGAGCCTGGTGTAGAATCCATATATGCCGTCTCTCTTGCATCCGAATCCAAAGGAAACTATCCCTGAATAAGAAGATTGTTTCCATTTTTAACATCCCATACTATTTTTCCATTTTTCTTGAATAGACATTTTAATGACATGCACTGTCCTGCTTAACGGTATGCAAACTTTCAAACATATTGTATCCGGTTCTCGGCAAAAATTAATTAAAGATATAAATGTGGCCGCAGTCATAATGTTCTATCCATCGATCACATAAGTATTATAATCGTCGCTAGAAACCGTTAAGATAATTGGTGTAATTGTATATTGAATAATTCTAGATTAGAAACATCAATAATATATCAAAGAAATTAAAGAATATTTACCGATCTGAATGAATTTGTTTTCATGTAGGGGGTGGCGAACAACAAAAGGACCGCCACTATCGCCCTCGCATGCGTCTATGTTTTGGATCTTTTCATCGTCATTTTCTAAAACGAATGGTATAAGCAAAATCTTAGTAAAAAAATAACAAGTTTATACTATACACAAATATACACAAAGTTACCATGCAGCAAGTTTAACATCAAATCAACGAACTTAATGACAAATATTAGGAGCTTATGCTATTTATGAATAAAAGCTTCAAAACAGTGATGTTGATTCATGTTGGTTCTGTTGTAATATTTTCCGTGCATGCATGTATATGTAAAATCAATAGCAAACCTTTATTATCATGAGTGTCAAAACAATTAAAGAACAAGTACAGCCAAATTTTATGTAACGTACATGCACACAAAAAATGGCAAGTATTTGCTTAATTTGATAAGAAATACATCACCTATAAACAACTTGTTGAATTATAAAAATCCTTAAATAGTTTAAAAGAATAAACAGATCGACAGCTCGGTTTGATTAAGAGTAACCGATGATTGCAGTTTTTATTGCTCGCCTTAACAATAGTTTAAGCTGAACTAAACATGATTTTGTTTTCAAAACAAACCTTTTCCACCAGCACAGAACATATGTTCCATACTGACATTAGTTTTCTCGTCAGTTGTCAATTTATCAAGACATTCCTTGGATGTTTTCACTTCCATTTGCATTTGTTTCAGCGTTTCTGCAAAGTCTCCCTTCATATTTCTTTTACCCCAACCAGTGACGACACCGTAGTTTTTCTCAAAAAGTTTTTCATATTTTAGATTAGTTTCGTCTGAAATATTTAATTACATGTACATCCTTAAAAAACCGACAATGCATTGTACTTCAATGTCTGGAAATCACATTTGTAAACAGAGGTAAGTTATTTTATAACATGTTCCTGTTCTATCTTAAGATCTAGTACTTAACTGGCCAATAAACGGCTGATTGTGTTTGTTTTCTTTTAATAAATAAAACGATATGTCACATATCACAAATAATAACATTATAAAGCGATATCGTAACATTAAATAACATGATAAAGCATACAAAAGACAGACAAATGATAAAGCGACAATATGACATATAACAACCTGAGAGAGTGTTATCGTAACACATATTTACCTGCATAAGCCAACAAATAACAGCTTAAGAGTGTGATATCGTAATATATCATAATCTGATAGGGCTTTATCGTAACAAATAACACCCTTAGAGATAAATATCTTAAACTATAATTATCTGATAAGGCTCTCTCGCAACACTCAACCTGTGAGAGTGATACACTAAATCTATTGAGGTTTATCGTAACATATAACAACATGAGAAAGTGATACATTATTACATATTTACCAGATGGGGCTTTATTGTAACATATTACAACCAGAGAGTTTGATATATTAACACATATTTATCTTATGGGGCTTTGTCGTAACAAATAACAATCTAAGATAGTAATATTTTAACACATATTGATATCATGGGGCTTTATCGACACATATAACAACCTGAGAGAGTGATATTGTGACATAAAATAAGCTATATATAAGCAAACTAAATTATCTTCAAGACCGATACCGTTTGATATGTTGTGTAATTCTGAAAATCTTATACTTAATAAAGAGATAACTTGATATGGTGATGAAAATCCAAATTCAGGCAATATTCTGAACAAAGACCATCCAAATGAAAGACTGAAGACAAGAGGTCTTGATTTAGAGGTTACTCTGTTCGATTTAATCAATAGTAGGTTATCAAAACATGACCATTTTACAGGGTTGTCTTTATATTGAGGTGGTCTTTAACACAAATTTGACTGTACATATATCTCGTGACACAAAATGAACTAATTTAGCAATATCGCTAAAAAGCACTTGTTTTAGCAAAATAATTAACATAAAAACAACTAAAGTAATTTTCACATTAAAAACGGAACTTACGGTCCACTTGAATTACCAACAATAGATCAAACTATGCAAATATGGTGCGAACTGCGTTAGTCTGGCAATATAAATATGATGCTATGTACTGCAAAATTAGCCATTAATTAAGTCGCGCATAACAAGTAAATCATTATTTGAATCTGGAATCCTTTTACTTTTCTAATAATCATATAATTTTTTCTTGACATATTTGGCTCATCATGAGGTATACAGCTAAAACAAAATTGTCTTTCATTCTTTTAAATCTTATCGATTTTTAGCGAAATAAAAAGTAAAATATACTTTTATATATTGCCTCGTACAATAACTACAGGATACTTTTACATTATAACTAAACGAAACTTAACTTATCCTATACAATAAGGATGTTCAGATGCAACTGCTTGTCAACTAGCTATGGCTGTAAAGTAAATATTTTTAAATTATTAAAAAGTATAAGTTTAAAATGAATGCATACTTTTAATGGTTTCGTCCCATAAGCAAACTGGCAGCAGCTCCGGTTTCAAGTCGATCTTCCTATCTAGTTTAACTAATGCAATGTCATACAGATGTTTAGGTTTGTCTTTTTCCTTCTCTTTTTTGTATTTTGGGTGCACATATATATTGTTCGGTAGTATCTCTCGCTCATCGAAGTCATTTTGTTCACTCAACATAAGTTTTCCTAAAAATTAAAGTTAATTTTATACATTCATTTGCAGCATTAATCTGTACACAATCTTTAAGATTTTACTTTTCACGAAACATAGCTTAACAATATACATGTAAGTATTTCTAACAATAATTGTGTTTTAATAACAATTTATGGACGTTTGTTAAAGTCTTCTTATAGATGAACGAGATGATATGAAAATTGTGTTAGAGAAATTAAAACCGTGCATCTATTAAACAGTAAAAGAGATAATGCTTGTGTTTATCAACTTCGGTACCAAATGCGTACAAAGATTCTGCTTTTTAACACTCTGACCAAAAGTATACTGATGGTTTATGTTTTCTTGCCTCCAAAGGCTGCGTAGCCAAATTGACGTTTTACTTACAAAACAGTTACATGCTAAATAATGATAATTGTTTGATGTCTCTGACTAAACCGCTGGTTTTTATGACTCGACCATAAATCCAATGTAACTTTAAATTGCTAGTGAATGAATAAAATGATTTTTAAAGTGATTTTAACTAATGCATTTTATAGATAGATTAACTTACGAAAATGAACTTTTGAAACCACTTTATCATCGAAGCAATGAGCAGCTGTAAGGATCCACCTGTCTCTTATCAAAGAACCCCCGCAAATGTGGGTAGTCGTCTATAAATCAATCAATTAATCAATCAATTGAATACATAAAAATGAATAAAACATAAAAATGACACATAAGACTAGTAACATCTAAAAAAAATTTGCTGGCAAAAATTGTGTGCATTATACATGTCTTAGAATAATTGCTAGTACAGGTTGATCACTTATTTGTATACATGTTATTATACTGCTTGAATATATACCCGTAGGTAGGCTTTGCAACCTCGTTATTGTCATACTAAATATAAATTGTGATGAAATATATTATGAATAGCTTTTAAAATTATAAAGACTATTATTATGAATATGTAAACAATGGAAAGTTTTATATACACAAATTAATCTTTGAATAAATTTAATTATTCTTGAAAACAGACACGTGTCAAAATTTTGAGAAACCATTATTGGTTGTGTACTCTTTTATACTAGTGTATTTGATTTGATGATACATTGAAGTTAGGCTGTTTTTTATCATTTTCCACAAAGGAAGGATTTTCACATTATACTTCTGACAAAAATATCCTTATTTGACGAAATTGGTTATACAGTGTAACTTCCGAATTCCGGAACTTCTGAAATCCGGAAACTTCTAAAAACCGAACAATTTTTTCGGTCCCGATTTTTTCCCTTCTATTTTCTATTAATATAATACTTCTGAATTCCGGAACTTCTAAATTCTGAATTCCGGACGATATTTTCGTAAAATTAGAGTCAAATCAATGCAATTTTACCTCCAAAAACCGGAAATATCCAAAGGTGTGAAATACATTGTAAATTGAGAATGTTTACCCTGCAGGAAGATTTAAACTCCCTATCGATTGTTTACTAATTAGCGGTGATCGTGTAATTTGACACGCATTAAAATCACAAACTGTGAAATGGTATGTTTGAAGTGATGCGGTTAATCAAAGTAATTTACGGCGGTCAGTAAATTTGAAGTGTTTATTAGCGGATTAAATGACAATTAATTGGACAATGTATCCATCAAACGTCTTTAGGGATTTTATCGCATTTGATGTAATAATTAATTAACTAGCATCGGACAATATGTAAGTTTATGCAATTAACAACATTTCTACAAACTGATTTTGCGGGTAAGATAAAATGTATTATTTTCATTTACATCTTTATCTTGATTAAAAGACTATTATATATGATATAACAGTAATGGCCACATCTTCCTTGACATTTAACATTTAGTGATATTAAGTGGCGTAGTCTTGTCCACATTATCATAAACCTCTGAATTCCGGAAACCTCTGAAATCCGAACTTTTTGACAAGTCCCATGGGTGTTCGGTTTTCGGAAGTTACACTGTATAACAATATAACTGTTGTCTTGTCATAGAATTTGGCAATTGTCAGAATCATTAATAATATAATTTGTTTATCACCGTCCCTTTAAATAGAGTGTTAGTTACAGTCTTCAAATATTATATTTGGAAAATCAATTTCAATTTGATCATGACCAAAAGGGAAATTTTCACAATTTTCGCTGTAAAGATGATCATTGGTCATTGGTACACAAAATAAAGAGTGTATATTCGAAATGTGGATTGACCAAAAAAGAGTAAGTAAAAAATATAGAGTTGCTCTTCATCAAAGTACAGATTGTCTGATCAATAACGAAGGGTGTCTGTAATTTTGTGCGATTTTGGTTGTTATTAAAATTTTTGTATAATATTTTTTCCAAAGCATAATATAAAGTGAAACATATTTTGACCAAATGGTAAGTTATTTTGACCTAAAACCATACACTAACCATCTATACATGGGTTGTGGTATCGCCACCTTGAAATTATGTTTTGTCAAATAAGATCGTTTAATTTTGCAAAATCTTTGGTCCATTTAGTTAATTCAACAGCCTTTTTCGGGACTTAATTGTACTTAAATACTTACCCTATTTGTGTAGTGTATAATAATTGCACGGTGTTACGATTTCATAGATAAGTTCAAACAGTTAGTACATTAGTTTGTGTTCATACCGCTCTTAACAGATCTAATTTCATTAATGCCGACCTATACTTAATGTTGAATATAAAACAATTATCTACACTTAATGATGACTAACAAACACGTGGACTTACCTGTACCTATTGACTTATATTAAGAAAATATCAGAACACATTATACATGCATATGAATACAAATTCAATTTTGCCAAATGCTTTAATTTTGGCTTCTTTTTTCTTTGTAATCTAGGAATATGCACATAGATTTTTCGATTTTTATTCCGATTAAATCTCAATATACGTTGCTGTTTTTTTAGCCAGCATTAATGGAATAATTGGCTTATCATTTAACCTACTAATGATTGAAAAATAATTGTAAATCCTACAATTTGCGAGCACGATACATTAATTTACCAGGATAGTATTTCATAACTAGTTTGGCGCTGATTTAATGAATTAAATATATGAAAGACTTTTAAAAAATTCACGCAAAAATCAATTTTCCAATATGATACTTAAATATATTATTGTAAGTATTTTTTACTGTAAAAATTGCTTGTATTGCAATCTAGTAACGAACTTATCATGAATGAAACACTGTGGTAAAACATATATTTTCTTCTAACAAAATTAAATCGAACAATTGGTAGATAAGGTTTTACCATACAGTTCATTAACATACAATAGTATATACATTAAATGTAATTGTTCTACGTCTAAATCCGTATTTGCTCATTCTTTCGCGTATTTGCGTTTTTATAATGTAGACAGAATGGCATCAAACGAGAGAAAAGACCAACAAGACAAGTAACGTTCACAGGATCAGCCACAGAAAACCAAGTACGTACGACCAAATAAACAGGGAAGTGAATCAAGGGGGAGGAGAGGACACATTATAGTGTGAAATCGTATAAACTAAAGTTAAGGGGCGTTAGCGTGAAATGAAATGGGGGAGGGGTAAAAAATATTGAAAAGGGGGTGATAATATACTAACATGTCGACGACAATCCAACAAATCAGTAAACACAAAAATGTAAACATTGAAAACAAGTAACGATACAGACATGATAAACACGTGAAGGAACACAGAGTGGGAGTGGAGTGTACAGCTTTGGAACGGTCAGTGGTGGTTTCACCTCTGCTGAGTTTAAACCGAAATTATGCGGCGCGCCAAACCTCCCTCTTAGCCTCAATATGTTCCTAAATGACTCCAAAGTGTAAATAAAATTAATCCCCTCAAAGTGAAATTCTAACAATGGTCATGGTTACATTAGACGAAATAAATAAAACACATAAATGATTTTGTAAATATCTACAAAAAGGTTCAGCCTAATGACCATTTACAAAGTACTCGATGCCTTAAAGGAAGGTAGAGGAACGAGAAAATCACCTACAAGGATCCGACGAAGAAAGACAGAAGACAAACATAAAGACAGTCCAAAAAGGCTTTAAGAACTGTCTATCATACAGTCACCTACTTAATCCGTCAGTTGTAATTAAATGAAATTATATATAAATAAAAAATACCAATGAAATTGAACTTGACCAATTGTGTTTAATAATTGAGAACTGTATAAATTTGCACATATCAACATGTACATTTATATATGCATTCTCGTTTTCGTTGATTCAGAAACAAACCAAATGTGAGGGTATTGTTATGTATATTCGCTATTATATTAAATATAATGTTAAACGTAAATAAATTAAGTGAGATAAATTGTTGTTCGGTTTTATTGAGAAAAAATGTTTACATAAGCGGTGTTTATAAGTATGTTAGCGCATGAGTCAACTACATGCAATATTAATTATCAAATTAATGCAGATCTTTTTGACATGGTTGAACAAGGTATTATTTCGAAAAATTAGGCAAAAGATTAGTTAATGTGTTAGAAGTAAGTGCAAAAATGAAACCTTAAAAATTGTTTTAATTGATATACCAGATTATTGGATTAGCTATGTTGAACGTTTTTACTGTTAAAGTTTGGATTTGTGTATTATTTGTAATTCAGTTGCTCATCTAAAAATGCTTGCAGTCTTAAAATTCTCGTATGAATGCCATCTTTGTTCTATGTTCAATATGTTTGCTTCTTAACCATTGCACTTTTTCATTGACAACTTTCAATGTAAAAATTTCAATATTTTTGGCACATTCCCCACAAAAAATATCGTAATATGATCAAAGGCAAATAATTCAAATTATGTAAAAAGGAGGTTTTTATCGATTTTTTTCAATAAGTCCTTACGTAAGAAAATAAAAGTTTAGTCCTCCAGTGTTTTCGCAAAAATTTAAATAACAAACGAACTTTTATGACCCTTTTCCCTGCATCTAAAACAGGTATAGGCATCCTCTCACAGTAACATTTATAACATTACGTTTGGTACATGAATATTGAGAAATATTGATAAAATAAAATGTATATTCACATTTTTCGTTTTGTTACTTTAAAATCTTTTTCACATCGGATACACAGATGTTTCGTATTTGACTGACTTTTCTAATTTCTTCTTTATACTATACCCGTCGTTGTGATATCATATACACATATACATGATTAAATCGTGTTTACTGATTTAGGTTAAGGTTTGAAACAAATATCTAATGTCGTTTCCTTTCTTCCGTAATAGAGGAGGATTCGTAAATCCTAAATTATGCCTGTTATAAAAAAAACCACTATCTTTACCTTTAATTCTGTAAAACTCATGAAACTTTAGTCAAATACCATATAGCAAACGTACCGTTCGAAGGTTTACCATCCATGGCCAAGCATTTCTTTGTGCATTAACTTCATATCTATTTTCTTTTGGATTTGAGATATCTGTTAAATGGGACTTTGTTGATCCACAAGATATGTCATAACTGTCTAAATGACAAGAAAAAATATAAGTTAGTAAACAAACATCATGATGAGTGACGGCTTGATAACAGCTCCGTTATCAAAGAGGTTATCTAATTGTGAAAATATGCGTAGAACTGATGTCGTCTGTCCTGCTTATAAAATAATTGTGAACATGTGCAAATAACGATTGTTAGTTCTACAACTGTATTTGCTTAATTCATAAAGTAAATGTTTACATTTGCAGGGAACCAATACTAATTCTGTAAAAAGGCTGCTTAGTTCAAAAACTCATTATAGCAACAATTTAATAAGCAAGTTTTGACTGGCAGATATGAAATGGCCTTAGTTAGAAATATGTCCATAAAACCTTTTATATGACACTTTTGAGCTATTCTCAAAGATTACCTAACTTAAAATAATAAAGGTTTGTTTGTGCTATAAATGAGAGACGTGTTACGTTACAATAAAGTATATCCTCCTACATAGAAACGACAACTGTTTCATGAAATACAGTTCCGACTTATATCGTGCAATATTTTCATAATGTAATTGAACAATGACTCGATTTTACTCTGTAGTGCTTTTGCTATTATAGATTATAGTCTTTAACAATAAACACAGTTGCGGCAATATGGTTTGTAACTTTTTTACAGTGCCGATATGTGCGGACCGTAGTGGAGACAGGTGGGATTTTTTGTTAATATTTCCGTACATAAGCAACATAAAAGGTCCATTTGTGACCACGAGATAATAGGAAATGCAAAATAAAAAGAAATTAAAAGCTAAACCGTGTCTGTAAAACAAAATAATGATAATAAAGAAAATGATATAGTTGTTCCTTTTGTTCCTTCGCTAGTGGTCTCTTTATACTTTTAACGTATTATTTTATACCTCCTCAGTTGATCTCTCTAAATTTCCAAAGTTGGGGCAACTCTTTGCTTCCGTTTTAGTACTCTGATGAGCATATTTTATCAAATTTTGCAGTTATTTTTTTTTAACTTTTCAAAAGGTACTAATTGAGTTGAAAGACATATTGAAAGAAGGTCTTCTACGTTATTAAAAAATAAAAAGGTACCACTAGTACATGCTGGCAATGAAATCGAAATAATTTAGTCATTTAGTTATAGAATCACATAAAAACTATTCATGACCCTCACCACCATGACGTCATCAAGTCATGACGTCACAAATGTTAATGTTGGAAAACAGATTTTTACTTTATTTGTGAAATTAATAACATACTGTTTGCTTTGTTCTTCCATGTTTTGTTTGTTTACATTCTGTTTATATAAAAGATATATGATATTTTACTCTAAAGAGATAAAAAATTACACTTACTGACGGGGAACACTGTTCGTAAAGTTACGACAGATTTTACACTTAAGATTTTCTTAAGATATTTTGTAAAAATGATATTTATCGTAAGATTTCACTTACGATAAAAATCTGTCGGGAGGTTTTTTTTGTGAAAATGGCTGCAGGTTTCTAACAAAATTATCCAACATTAATCGATATTTATTGATTCCTTAGTGTTTGGGAACGTTTACATTCAATTATTATAAAGTATCAATATGTATTGAAAAAATGCATACCTCATAATTTACTTCTGTAACATTTTTGTATTAAATCTCTTAAGAAAATATTATTTTACCTGCATTGATCATACTCTCCATAACCTTTCTCAAATTAGACTCATCATTGCTGATTTGAAAGAAATGCTGTTCTTTTTCAATGTGTGAAGCGAGTTTCCTCATCGTTTCTAAGCCTTTAGTATCTGTTAGGTCCCCAACAGCAATGGAATATATTTCCACATCAAAGACATCTTTAAGTTTTGAAGCGGCATCAGTTGGATCGCCCATTGTTGTAAATCTTCCTGATGTTAACAATGAAATAAGACATGATTTTAAAACCTGTTGGAAAAAGCAAACTGAAATGGTGTCTCATATGTTCAAAACACAGTCCCATAATGTTATACTTTGTTTACTATGATGCTATCTACCATTTAGACCATTTATTTGATAATATAATACAGTGGTCATAGCAACTTCTCTAAAACACTTATTATAATTGTATCATTATGATAATAACTTATTTTTTGATTGCTGGTTATCTGATATCAAAACTTAGTCCCGCTCATTTTAACGGTCTATTTTATTGTTTATAATCACATTTTACACTTGATCATTTGAACTCATATTCCTGAAATTCTCGAATCAAGATGTAACATTAAAATATAGTTTTCATTTTGTTTTGAATTACGATAAAATTAGATAAATTACCAAATTAATGAAGTGACTTCAATTATGAGTTTCGCAAATCACATCATCGATGTTCAAGTAATATCATAACTATAACCAATTGGCATGACGGTTTTCTTGGAAACTTTATATATGTTTACCTTTTTTCGTAAGATCATCATTAAATAAATGAGCAAACGTTTTGTGATAAAATAAAACGCATGTTGTGTCATTTGCATAGACACGAGGGATGATCGTTGCTGGAGCGAACGGTGTCCGAGCAGGGCGTTTTTAACAGCCGCTGTCCGATTTTGCTTTTCATTGGGAATCCACTATTAACAAGGTGATTAAATGAGCGGCAGTGGAATTCGATTTCAAGATTTCTTTCTATGGATATAAATCCCCCTTTCTACTTAAATGGCCATTTTAAAATATCTTTTTGTAATTTTGACTTTTTTGATGTGTTATATTATAAAAGAAAACAATATGCGATTATCTGTTGATATCAATTTTATCAACGGGGAGAAAGGGATAGGCAAATCTCGCCGCTTTCAGTCGATTTCAGCATCGGCTGATGAAATTGATTTCAAAAGACTGAAACGTCTTATGCTTCATTAAGCATATGATGTTTTAATTGAAACATGACCATTACACACTCTTGCATGACGCGTTATATATATATACCTTTGTACAGTACGATTATTCCATGGCAACTGGTGTAGCATTTCGCGCATGCGCATTCTGCGTAGGGCAAAAGCGCAATAACGATATACTACATTTTAGCGTACTTAAAGGCTTTAAAACACGTAATTTCAAGTTATGTTACCCAGAAAAAAGAAATTTTGGGATGAATTAAAGCGGTCAGTACTTACAACGTAAATTGATATTTATAACAGATATACAAAATGTGCGGGACTTAAAATTCAACGACCAAACGTCCTCTGTTTAAGGAATCATTAGATGACCTTTTCATCAGTTATATAAATTGCAACAGCAGAGTGTTTAAGATAAATTTTATTACCCGTATATTACATAATATTACACAATCGGTACTCCTTTGAAAAGTGGATTGGCAAGGTGGTATGTGTCAAACAGACTGACACGTGACGGTTGTGATTTGCCAGCTAGTTTAAAGCACAATATCAATTAACCGGGACGTTTTAGAACCATGACAGTTAATCCCTTAATATAATGAAAATCGTAATTTAAGTATTTTTTTATTATTTATACCAATCTCATCAATGTTAATTAAATTTGTGAAGTGACAAATAGTGTACGTGACGTTCATTTTCATGTGTTACGAAGAACCGGATGTAATGTATGTTATTTCACCACCCATCTTCACTTCTCAAGAGTATGAAAATTTTCAAGTCGGAAAAAGGATACAATTGATAAAAAATTGATGATTTTTGTTAAAGATTTTTGTTTGTTTTTATATGGACGATTTCAACACCAATTGAATTGACTATCTGCTGTTACAAACATGTATATATATTACCACATTTTCTACAACAATTATCTCAATGTCAGGTCCGTCATCGTAAGTGGGGAAATCTAAAACATCCGTCTTTTCGTGCCTTTTTATGGCAATCTTGGTCACAAATCTATAAAGGCATCTTTTGTGTTTCTGTTAAAAGCTATTTCATATGAGTTTTCTAATTTTTACCTTAAACTAACACGGAATTGTCTATGAACTTCTACTATGTAGGGCTAAGCTCTTTTTGCCCTGTGCAAATTGTGCATGCGCAAGAAAATACTACTTCGGGTCAAATTTTCATATTAACGGACCGCGTCGTAAAAAGGTCTATTACATATTCATTTTTGTGAAATCTACATTTTATTATAGTGTGCGATAAAAAATAACTATCACAAATATACCTAAATAACTTTATCAACAATAAATATATAATGCAAATAATATTAGACTTAGCCTTACCGTAATCCTGTGGGGCAATTAAAAATATCAGAAACTTCAGATTTAGATTTAACAAAGCTTTTAACCGATACATAAATAGATTTAATTGTGTTATACAAACAACCAGTTATTTTGTTTTTACGTAATATATCATATAAAATCGTCCGATCTATAGAATCAAAAGCTTTCTGAAAATCGATGAAAGCTACATAAACTGGCTTTCGTTTCTGTTGGAGATATTTAGATACAATAGAGTGTAGTATAAAAGCATTGTCAGTAGTACAATAGTTTTTCCTAAAACCTGCCTGACATTCTGAAAGCTTTCTATATGCCTCAATGTAAAAAGTAATTCTGTTGGTAATAATATTAATATATGCTTTGCTTATGACATCAATTAAGGATATTCCTCGATAATTATTAGGGTTTAGCAAATTACCTTTTTTATGAACATGTATAATTACACAATGACACCATTTTTCAGGGAATATCCCAGACATAAATATCTTATTAAATAATTTGCACATATAAGGAAGTAGAGTATCTAAACCATAAATGATATGTAAAGGTATTAGTGTGCCTCCAGTTGCCTTGTTAGACTTTAATTTTTTAACAGCTTCATTTACTTCATCCTCAGATATTTGGCTTTTAAACAGAAACTTCTCAATCTCATCTAAGTTATCTATTTCACCTGAATTTACATCTTCACTAACTGTAGCCGGTAAATTTCCACCAATACTACCATCAATATCAGCAACAGAAAACAACTGTTTAAAATGAGAAAACCATGTATCTATACTTATAGGTGAATCTCTGTTAACTGGATTTGATATATTATTTATTTTCTTCCAAAATTCTTCGGAGTTATTAACGCTATTATCAATATCAGCTATAAATTGTTTTTCATATGCATATCTTTTTTGTCTACATATATTATTATATGAATGCTCATTGTCAATATAAATGTTTAAATTATCCAAACTTGGACATAATCTAAATTTTCGCAGTGAAAACCTAGAAATTTTACGGGCGGTTTTACATTCAGCATCAAACCATGCCCTATTTTGTAGTCTATGGTTTTTGTTATGTTTACTATACAAAAGAGATTCACTACAAAAACTGACAACCTTCTCAAATTCATCAAGTAAAATATTTACATCATTACAATATTCATACAGTGAGTCTAACTTGTCAAACAGACCTGACTTCTTAGCATCACAAAGAGTAGATGAATATACAGATTTACCATTTTCATTAAAATTATATGCTGTAGTAGGTATATTTTCAAAATTTCTACCAAAGTAAATGTTGGAGTGAATTATCAAACACAAAGGGAAATGTGTACTTTCAATCACATCTAAAACTTTAAAGTCTACAGTTAAATCAAAAATATTTTTGGATGCTAAACAATAGTCTACAACACTGCATCCATTCTGGTTAGCAATTGTAAAGTTTCCATATGAACCATCTGTATTTTCAGGTAACAGTCTACCATTATAAATGTAACAAGAATATTCTTTACAAAAATTAATCGAATGTTTACCATCATTATTTACAATATTATCTTGTGAGTGTCTTTCAATTGTAATACCACTTTCTAATACATCCCTAACATCTTGAAACTCTGGTTCATCAAAATATGACACATAATCAACAAGACTTCCAATTCTAGCATTAAAATCACCACAGATTAACAGTTCATATTGTGTCAAGTTATTATCTGATATTAGAGCTTCTAATCGTTGTAAACATGTATACACAATATTTTGGTTGAATGGTGATTTTTCTGGAGGAGAATATAACGAGACCAGTAGCACATTCTTTTCAATACTAAAAATTGTTTTATCTATCAAAAGCATTACACCATACTCAAAATTATCACAAATCCTTTGAACATATCTAGTAAGCTGGTTTTCAATCATAATAACGACTCCGCCCATGGATCTACCTCCCACTACAGATCTTTTAGCATTACATGCAAAATTAGTGAATTTTTCAACATTTAGACAAGCACAACTATCATCATTCCATGTTTCCTGCAGACAAACAATATTGAATTCAGAAATAACTTTGCACACATTTTCAAATTTTAAAACATGGTTTAACCCTTCGATATTCCATGAAAGGAGAGATAGCTTCTTTACTGGGCCTTGACCGTTATCCTATTTGGTATAATCAATAGTGCCTCTTTGTATTCCCCATGTGTTGATGATATATTGTAATCAATGTCAAATGAATTTGCACCGCTTACAACACTTGCATAACTATGTCGATTAGCGTGTAAAAATCTCCTGTTGGAGTCTGTTTGTTGCCTGGTAGGTTGATTTGGCTTATATGTTACCAATTTACCATTCTTGAAATATCCGCGTAAACCTCTATTATTAAGTTCTTTCAACTGCTGACGTTGTAAGTATGTAAGATCATTAGAGAGTCGAATACCTGCAGTCCTGAGATGATCACGATACTTTAAAAGTTTGAACTTGTCATCTGGGTTTTTTAATTCCACTATTACTAGCCTAGGTTTACCAGTTTTTTTACCAACTCTTCTAGCAGATTTTATTGAATTTTCATTTAACATTGCATTAGGAGGAGAAGCAGAAAATACTGATTCATTGACGGAAGCTTCTAAGGAAAATTGGTCATTCTCTGTTTCTTGAAGGCCAAAGATTCTTAATGATCCTTTCAGCTTATCAGATTCCGTTACATGTATGTGTCTCTCTAATTGTTCGATACGCTCCTGCGACGTTTCATCATTCATTGCCATAGCTCTAATATCACTTTCGAGAATCTCATTTTTGTATTCGATATTTTCTAAACGCCTCTGTATATCAATTATAGATGTATTAGTTTTTACTTGATTTGCCTCAATATTTTTAATATTTGATTTAATAGATGTAAGTTCTGTCTGGACATTTGTCATTTCCATTTTAACACCAACAATTTCATTCTTCATCTGTTTTAAAGAATCTTTAATATCAGAAATAGCATTCAGAATTAATTGTGTATCTTCTGTTGGACCCGGATTCTGCTCTATATCTGCAGCCAATAGTAGCACCCTGCTAGCATATGAAGCATAACGATTACTACCATAAGTTTATACGTCGGGTATTGTTCCTTTTGAAAATGTAAGGTGTTGATAATCTGAACATTCAATTTCAATGGGAGATGAATATATCAACGAGATATGAGTTTTACTGTGAAGCATTAAAAGCAATGTAAGACACCATAATATAATTACAAAACAGATCAAGCAGTTCCAGAAGTGCTGAGATTATGTTTACATATTTTCTTCTCTCTAGCTCTACTGTGTAATTGCAGGTTAAAGCTGCCTATTCTTGCACGATATAGCAGTATATCTATACCCATAATTATCAACTGTTACCTTTTGATCAGAGTCCAGCTATGTCATGCAATTGTTATGCAATTTAATCCTTATGATCACAATACCCTAGCAAATGTTACAAATTCCTTTGTAATTAACACACTGAACTCCAGTGTAGAATGTTTACACAGTCCATTGAATGTCCAAAAGTTGTCTGTGTACATGTAGAAAGTAATCCTTTGTTCAATAAGAAAAAATCCAATATCCTTCAAAATGTCAGAAACCAAGAAATTAATTGTAATTTAAGTCCAAGAAATATAAAGATGGTCTATTTTCCCATTCATTGGTAAAACTTTTGTCATATAAAATGATTTATAACCAGCAAAAATGAACCTTAAATCTTAGTTAAAAAATCCATGTCTGACCACTATCACCATATTATAACATATGAATGGTAAGAATAAGTAAACATTATGAAAACCACTGAGTAAGTTAATGAACTGTAAACAAAATTTCTATCATAATATCCCTTAATCTTATAAAAGACATGTGTACAGTTAAGCTGTCCATAACTTTGATAAGTTTATATTCAATCTTTATGTCACTTTGCAATTCTATTATATCTGTAAACACAAAATAGTAGAATAGATATTACTTTGTACATTTGTTCTGTTTAATAAACTTTCAAATACTGATTTTTATTTGTGCCCATAATTTTTACATTGAAACATTTTTTTTTACATTCAGTGTCACTGTGACATCCATTATGCACAGGTACCCAAAACATTTTTTATGTATGAGGGTAATCATCATTTGAAGTAAAAGACTGTTGATTAATCGGTTCTCAAGTATTTGAAAGGAAACAATTATTACAATCAAGGTCACTGTGACATTGATCTACACGTGTTGGTGACCGAAAACCATAGGGGTCTTCTTCTCAATGGCGGCGATCTTATCATTTTATGAAATTTGAACGTTATATGTAAAATGGGTCTCAATTTATGAGGAAAAATATTTCATACATTCAAGGACACTTTGACATTGATCTTTGTGCATCGGCGTCCAAGTAAGGTAATTATCTTTTGAAGTTTGAATGCCATGGGTTAAATGATTTTAAAAATTGTTGAACACCAATAATTTTTATTCAAGGTCACTGCGTCCTTGAATTTTAAGCATCGGCACAAAATACTGCACCCATAAATTTATAAGATTAATCAACATAATTATAAAGTTTCAATAGGTTAAATAGTTCTCAAATTAGTGAATGGTTCTTAAGTTAATGACAAAATAGTTTTCACTGTCATTTTCACTTTGACCTTGGCCTTTATTTATCGAGGTCCAAAATCAAAAGACGCATTTAACTCAATAACAGCGATCGTACATTAAATGTTTAATGTAAAAGGTCACATGTTTCTTAAGTTATTGAGCTAAAAAGTTTAAAATTCAAGGTCATTGTGACATTTACTTTCAAGAATCGGCACCTTAAAACAGTAGTGGTCTTTTAGGGTGACCATTCCGATGAAGCTCGAAGGCTACAGTTAAAACGAACTAAATCGATCGCTAACATTTGCAAAACAATATCCCACTTTCGCCTAAAGGGGGCCTAAATATTGACTGATAGAACTACCTTGGATAACTAGTATTTTTTTCCATGTGCAGATCATATCAAGTAAAATAAATGATTAAAACAAACATTGACAAATTTTATTTTGTATCTTAAGATATAGCGGAAACAAAGATGTTTAAAACTTGATTTAATTGCCAATGTTTATAAAGTATTCTTATAAGCCGTAAGCAAGATATATTACGTTACTACATACCTGATTTATTTTATATTTAATTTATGAGTTTTCTACAAGAATGTGACGTAAAGACGTTAGAATAAGTATTACCATTCTGCAGAAACTATTTCTATGAAAAGAGCCAAAATAATAAAAGCATTACCGTAAGACTAACAAGCGTTTATATTTATGGAAAAGGAAAGTTAATTGAATCAAAATTTATAAGCAATATTTGAACTTACATTTTCCATGAGACTTCACATTTACTACCTGTAGTTTGCCTTCTTTGGAGCTATAGCAACCGTTGTAGTCTTCGGCCTCGCACTGGTAAACTCCCGCGTCCGATGTTTGGACGTTTGAGATGAGTAAATAATTATTAGCCATTTTCTGTAAGATTATTGTGTACTTATATAAATACTATTAATGACTTGTAAACATAATATATAATACATTACTCTGTCTCATTATGACGGTAAAAATGGTTTTATATACAAGTAAGTTGCCTCATTGTAACTCGAGACAAACAACAAGAAAATATAACATTTTTTATTTTTTATAACGATCAATTAGAAAGTAAAATATCACTATGTTGTAACGAATAAATTATAGATATAAACATAAAATAAGGCGCATGACTTTTACACATTTTTTTTCATCAAATACATGTACTTAAATACTTTTTTTAATATATGTAGTTAAATTTAGAGTATCAAAAGACAATTACGATAAGTAATTATGTAAATTTAAAACCTTGCTACTCGGCACTTTTCCACAATGGGTGAGTGCATGAGCGAACGCACAAAATGACAAAAACAACCTCATAATAACAACTGTCAATTTCAACAAAGATAAACGGCAATGTCTTAACACCGTATTTCATTCCAGACCGAGCATAGATATTATAGACTCTAATACTTAGTTGCTGCTCGCCGTTATGTGATAATATACCTCAGATCGACCTTATTGCATTTGACCCTCAGGTCATTATGCAGAGAGTAACAATCAATTATTTACCTTTAATTCTTATCTTTAATAAAATATAATATATCAATTATTTTTCAAGTTAAAAAATGATTTGATGAGTCAACTGTATTATTTGACTGTCTTATTATCGTCCTTTTTATCACTTCTTTGCCATGATTACAAAACGATATGTTTCCATTAACGAACTAAAACTGAAAACAAACACCATTATTGACATATTTGTAAATATCATTCGCATGCTTTGTTTGCTTACGGTGCTTGCATGAAAATGCTTCCTTTCGTTGTAAAGGACTTCAGCTTCGCTCGTACTTTACATGTTAATATATAAATCGATTTCTTGAATATATTTGCAAGACGCAGGTCCAATGAAAGAAAAGCAGCTTAATATGAGTTTACTTTATCATTTCTTATTGCAATTACTATTACATTCTGGTATACCGTCAACATATACTTTTGTCGTATTTTCGTAAAAACCCGTTATGTGAATGTCTCAGATATTTTCATTATCATAAACAAATTAAAAATGTCAAAATGTGTACTTTTTCAACTTATTATAGTTCACTAAACACATTTTTGCTTTCGTTATTTCAATGTTTTTACATTTTGTTAACTTGTCATTTAAAAATGCCTTATACATATTGCATTATTTCAATTTCATATTTTCAGTTTTAAGTAACAGACATAATTTTCAAATCTTTTGACAAATAATAAATGTTACTGTACCACTAAATGTCATTATTTATTTAAAGGCTATTAATATTCTTTGTATACGCCCTGTGGTGAAAACAGAAAATAGAAAGTCTTTCAATAGTTAAATATATTCAACAACTCATAACGCTAACCTTTACGTACGGATGATAATAAAATGTTCAGAAAAAAATGATAAGAAAGATATACGAAACAAGACAACAATTCTATTAATTATTTTCATGATTTACATGTATATCGCATTTGAAAACGTACCTTGATTCTATCATCTTTGTTATAATCAATGTAAACACCATCTTTCTTCCATCTAACTTCTTTTACTCGATGGTTCACGCGGCACGTAAGTAAAGCTATTTCATTAGGTTTTTTGATCTCTGACTGTGGTCCTGGGTATATTCCTTATAAAAAATAAAAGCGCTTTTGGTTTGTTTTTTATTCTTTTTTAAATCATCAATGTGTTGTTGTATTTACATTGCATATAAAGTTGAATACTGCACTAATACTACAAACAAGTTTTTGAAAAGATGATATATATCAAAGTGCAAAACGTAACGCACAACGCATCGTTGCTGCTATGGAATACTATTTTAATAATTGAGACTGTTGTTTCAAGACATATCAGTTTTCTCAAAAGTAGGCAATATTTGGCAAGGTCCGATGAAAGAGTAGAAGCTTATAATAAGTTTGTTCGGCGGTGTTTATCGGCTAATAAACCACGCTTCTGTCAAAAAGGAAATAATAAAAACCAAAGGTTCACCTTATTCTTTAAGGACTATTATCAATTGTTCAACAATTTAAACTTACGTGTAATACTAGATTGTATTGTGTTAACATCGATGTCAGTATATTGTCATCACCCACCCAAGTCAGTTTGTCATGACGTCATTCTGGTGTCTATGAATGACTTAAATACTTAGATGACAGCATTTTGCTTTATTGGAATTGCCGTAGATTTTTCTTTATTATTTTATTTGAACTGATACAGATAAAATCTGTAGCGTTTGTGTATGTGTGCCATTATTATTATCATATGAACAGAAAATATATGGAAAATGGAAAATATCAATAAAAATCGTTATTTTTGTTACCTAAAGGGAGGAAAAAATATAAGGACAGTTGCATATTTATGTAGTACCTACCAAGTGTTTATTTGTAACTGTAGTTTAACACCGGCTTTTTCTTCTTTGCGTTTTGTTACAAATCACAAAGCATATCAGAATACAAGACAAATCTTAATTTGTATGGAAAATACAAATTCCATCTATATTCGCGCATGGAAATAAAAAGGACTTAGTACTAGCATTATTTACGTGCAATACTTTTGATTTCAGAAATCTTGAAGTTTTTTTTTTAATTAAAAAAGACCACATATAATGGGTGTTGTGAGCTGATAATGAGATTGAACTAAAACATTATCCAGTGCTTATTTGACTCTATTTTTCATTCACTTCATAAAATTATGTGAAAGTTAGCTTGAGTTATTAGCTGGAAAAATCAGTTAAAATAAAAAGAACTTACTGACGTCACAATCATCTGCAATGGTATACGTAAAAGTGTGATTCACTGTTTCGACCGAGGTTGTAGCAATACATGAATATTGCCCCTCCATTTCGTCCGAGAACTTGTCAATCTTCAATATGAACGCAAGTAAATTTTATGCTTTTAGCTATTTAGAATTTTGAACCTTCAATGCTCTTCTTCAATTAAACGGGACGGTCACTACCTACATTTTTTTCATGCAGTTTTTATTCGTGATCTCATAACATACAGTAACATATAAACTAGCAGTTAGCTTAAAAGTCATTACCATTATATACGATTTTATCTTTTATGATTAGAATCAATGCTACGCTTTGCAATTTGAAATATTTAAAATATAATAATCTAATTTTTATTCAGTTCATCTTTACAGAATGGCATGAATCAATTTTTACACTAGGTGTGTATTAACAGCGTCGGCGTATTCTTCAGAAAATTATTCTTCAGTGCATGTTTATAAAACAAGTGTACTGATGATTTCCGTGGCAAAAAAAAAACAACAACAAATAAAAACAAAAAAAGAAACACTTATCGCGTTTAAGACAAATGCGCAAAATGATTTTTTAATTTAAAACGACAAATAAATAACCTTAACTTTGACCCAAGGAATCCATTATTCAACAATGAAAGAGGTAAACCCATGGTATTCACCTGACACAAGTGAAATGACCCGGTCAAAAAAGATAACTGCTTTTAAAGCAAGTTTAAAAATCAGTTTTTAGCACAGGTGACCTTGACCTTAATCAATTGTCCAATGTTTCTACTGGCAAAATATGAAACAGTCAATATATAAAGTATCTAAAACATCTATTTTAAGTACCAGTGATCTTGACCTATTTAATCACTTAAAGTAAGAAGTTAACCAAATATCAAATGTAAAAGACATCTAAGCTCTAGCTCATTGGGTTTTTTAAAAGAAGATTTTTTTAAGTTTTTATTATACACATATAGTTAAAAACAATGACAACCCTGGGGTGGGGCCAGTTTTGATCCTAGGGCTTTTATTTGAACAAACTTTGTAGACACTAACTAGAAGATGTTTCATGCTTATTATCTAAACTCGAGCTATTTGGGTTTTTTCAAAGAAGATTTTAAAGTTTTTGCTTTACACATATAAGGAAAATCAATGACCCCCGGGGCGGGGCCAATTTTGAACCCAGGGCTTTTATTTGAACAAACTTTGTAGACACTCACTAGAAGATATTTCATGATAAATATCTTAGCTCTAGCTCTTTGAGTTCTTTAAAAGAAGATGTTTTAAGTTTTTACTATATGCATATAGGGAAAATCAATGACTCCTGGGGCGGAGCTAATTTTGACCCATGGGCTTTTATTTGAACAAACTTGGTAGACACTCATTAGAAGATGTTTCATGCTTAATATCTTAGCTCTAGCTCTTTGGGTTATTTAAAACAAGTTTTTTTTAGTTTTTTCTATATGCATATAGGGAAAATCAATGACCCCCTGGGGCGGGGCCAATTTCGATCCCAGGGCTTTTATTTGAACAAACTTGGTAGACACTCACTAGAAAATGTATCAAGCCAAATATCTAAGCTCTAGCTCTTAGGGTCTTTTAAAAGAAGATATTTAAAGTTTTTTTCTTTCGGTTGCCATGGCAACCAGAGTTCTGCATGGAATTAAATTCTTTGAACAACTCTTAAAGGTGACCACCAATGGAACATTCCTGTGAAGTTTGGATGAAATTGGCATAGTGGTTTATGAGGAGATGTCATTAAAGTAAAAGTTTACGGACGGACGGACGTACGCCGGACGAAAAGCGATCGCAAAAGCTCACCCTGTCACTTTGTGACAGGTGAGCTAAAAATGGTAAATTTAGTACATAGTGTTAAGAAGGGTGACAAGCAAATACCTTAATTTAATATCCCTTACTTCACTATATAACTCATTTCAAAAGAAACATTTCAGCATTATATATCGTAATAAATTATTTTAGACTATACTGTAACCAAATTCACCTTGAAATAACTCTACAGACCTTTTCATATTCATAACGCACCTGTAATGTTCCATCCGGATGAGTTCCAAATCCTATTGTGCTATTGTACGGATTTACTAATATTCCTTGTAATGTCCTGGAAATTAAAAAAAATCAAATGTACCTATAAAGTATTGCAACACCAAAAGTCATTTTTACTGCAAAATTTATGTTGTTTCTGTTTGTTCTTAGTTTGTTAAATTTTTCATGTTTAAGGTATCATTTTTTTTATTTTCATTATATACTATGCTTAATTTTCATTTAACTATATTTTAAGTGGTATTTAGCTATGAATGCTAACAATCTTTCACTTCAGTACGTTTATAGCTCGAAAAAGGCATGAATGGTTCTTACAATTCAACACGCCCATGTTTTATTTTGGTATATAACTATTTAATTTAATCCCCGCCGATCATTTAAACTGCTGGTTGTTCTGTCTTTTCATCGATACATCATGTGCCACTTTCGGCATTGGCGATAGGACATATTTTAAGAATTTTAAAATTGTTAGAACAAATTCTGCTTTTAAAGTTTTTGCAAAATTTGTACATCTCATTGTTTAAAGGGGCGACTGAATTTTAATTTCATTCAATATCATAACCACTAATTTAATGATTGTTTAATTCATATTTCACAATTATTTGTGTTAAATGATTTAAATTAGACATTCCACGAAAGTCATTTGTATATCGCGTTAAACAAGCAATCCCAAGACTTAGCATGTTCAAAGAAGTATTATTTACAGTATTGAGTTCTTTGATTTACAATAAATATTGTAATTATTATTGATAACTTTGTTTTAATCAATACTACAGCTACAAACTACCCTTTACTTCTAATATTAAAGTCTACAACATTTAGATTTGTTCAAATTTTACTCTTTCACCTTGTTGATTCCTCTTTTAGTTCATTAATTTAAAAACAAATGTTATAATGCTAATTCTCTTACCAACTATATTCTACCTCCTCTTCATATGGAACTTCAACTAGACATTCTTCGATATGACCTTGACCTCTCTTTACCGTGCGGTCCACGGGTGCACTGATGAATGTTATTTTGTTCGAAAATTCACCCTTGCAAAATAAATATTTTAAACATGTTTTAGACAGCTGAATAAATAGTGATAAAGTTATACAAAACATGTCTGTCACTGCCAAAACAAACAGTTTCAGGAAGTAAACAAAATTATAACTGTTTTCCTTATTATCTAATTCAGTTACAACTTACAAATTTTATGTAACTTAACGGTATTCAAGTTTTTATTCAGGGAATAACGTTAGAGAGAACATTTATATATGAGCTCACTAAATTAAACTGGATAAGGAGAAATATTTCATGAATGAAAAACGTGTATTTGAACAAGGAAATGATTATAACGATAACATCGAGCGTTTTACTAAATGGCGATTAGGTAAGCTTGCAATAACCGGCTGCTGTACTTTGATCGAGTCTACAACATTTTCTTTTTTCTTCCGGTTTGAAAAAAAGGAACATAACTTTGCAAAACTGATATTTAGAACTTTTTTTCTGATGAAAATGCAACATATTTAAACATCGAATACCTATTTTACCAATTGGAAGTGAATAGTTTCAGTTGCTGAAAAAATGCACCTGAATAAAAAGTTTAACAATGGCAAAGAAAGTGTTAATTGAAAGGGGAAAATAATTTTGCAAAAACTAATTTTAGGAGTATGAGCTGTCTTAAAAGATTGCGTTCTCTTATGAGAATGAACATGTATACCAAGTTTGAGATGAAAGGATTGCCGTAATTAAAAAGTTAACCAACGTTGATACCATCGCCGACGAGAGAGTCATGACAAAAGCATCACTTTTCTTCGGAAAGTTCAGCTAAATATGAAACAGTTACGAAAAGGAAATACGGCACACGGTAATGGGAATTAGCAGTTTTCAACGAACGAAGTATATTTCCATGACAATGATTTAAATAACAATAGCGATACCAAAATGAACTGGGAACACATTTTAAAGAACATCAATGACATCAAGATAACTCTCAATAATCAATTTAACTTCTGTTTTTACGAGCTAAACGCAACAGAGAAGATAACGCAGCAACAAATTTTACAATATTTAACTAAAGAAAAACAGTTATTTACAATCATACAAAAATAAAAGTAAACTTTAACTCACAATTATCCACGATTCAAATTTAACAAATTGGAACAATTTGGATAAGAAATGCGGTACACGGTGACGGGAATGAGCAATTTTCAACGAACGAAGTATATTTTCATGACGATGATTAAAATAACAATATTATAACGATACCAAAATGAATTGGGAATACATTTTAAAGAACATCAAAGACATCAAGGAACTCTCAATGTTCAATTTAACTTCTGTTGTTACGAGCTAAACGAAACCAGCAACAAATTTTACAACTTTTAACTAAAGAAAAACAGTTATTTACAATAATACAAAATCAAAAAAATCAAATTTAACAAACGTCCTAAAGTTTAACTCACAGTTTGAGATTCAATTGTTTTCCACAACTCTAATTCAATCAATGTCAAATGTCCACAGCAGAATATCACAATATGTCCAAAAAACTTCCCATACAGAATTACAGAATCCAAACTTATATATTCCTATGTAAGCTTCACGATATCTTAAGTACAATAGCACACAATTAGTATATCAACATTACACTATATCACAAATTAGCACACACACCGCGAAGTACAAACACTTCTCAATATATATACTATCAATGAACAATCTAGAATACTCAACTACTTAGAGAAAAAATATTCCAGAATGAACATGAAGAGAACTTTTTTGAAAGAAGATGAATGAACATGAAAAATTATATAAACATCAAATAAACAAAATTATTAAAAATGATAGTGACCTGAGTAGGTATCGAACCCACGACATCGCAATTATCAGTTCTGCACTCTACCTACTGAGCTATTCAGAAAATAGATACTAAACACATTTAAAATAAAGCTTATATACATAACACTGTATTATTCTTACATCTCTTTGTGAACAGTCGTCTCCTTTGAAACCTCCCGGACAGTAACATTTCTCTTCAGAACTAGTCTGGATACAAGTTCCGCCGTTTTGACATATATTTGTATCACAATATTTTCCGTGAATACATCTATAAAATCAAATAAAAAGTCATATTTGAACAAAAATGTACGAGAAAATTTGCCATGTAATCGTTATATTAACAATGTTTTTTTAGACATTGGATTTTATGTGCATTGCAGAGATTAACTCAAGAACTGTTTAAGTTGAAACTTCAAATTTTAAGTAGTTTTATGATAATCTAACTTACTTTAGATTCTTGTCCACAGATATCAGTTAAAAATGGAAAGCATCTTCTATAAATCAATACAAACATGTCAAAAGGAAACATCAGGTTTCGTTTTATTTGATTTAAAGTTACATACTTTTCAGTGTTGTCCCGAGTGCATTCCATTTTGTCTTTGCATATACATTCTACAATGAATTATTCATTTGTTTTAGAAAGACTTTCCAAAAGCTTCTTAAATGACAAGTCAATTGGTCAAATTTTTTCAAGTGTTACACTGTGTAGAACAAATAGAGACTGAAAATGTTTATAGATAGAACATGTAATTATTTGAAATGACATTAAACAAAAAAGACATACTGACTTACCTGTATCTGGTACAAATGAAACTTTTGCCAGAAAATCCTTAAGGGCTAATGATTCATCTGTTTTAATTTCAAGACGCAGTGATTTGCCCATTGTTACAAAAGTGTGTCCATGTTTATTCTTTCCGCAAGATTGTTCATTAAGAAAAGATGTTTCTGAAAAATATGGGATAAAATTGTCATCACTTTTATAAGGATTTTAAAAAAAAATCAGTCATGAGACTGTATTTCGGTAAAGAAAGTATAAATCCATTAATAAGTGCCCGTTTCGAATTATGTAAATTTGCACGTATGCATTCTTGGAAAGTCAGATATAAATATAACATTCAATCTGTTATAAAAATAAAAAAAAATGATTTTGAAATAATATCGTTTTCAGTAGTGTTTATCGGCTATTTAACACCAGTCTGGAGTTTTGATGCGTAGGATTTTTCGCATCAAAACGACACAACTGGTGTTAAATAGACGATTAACAACACTGGAACCAATATTATTTCCATTCAAACAAGACAAAATAAGGGAGATCACTAACGCTATTTTTCCAACAGTAGATTATTTCCGCTGCCGATTTTCGTATAATAGTGTTCTTTTTCGGACCCTACTGTCACAGAGGTAAAACAATGAACAAAGAAAATGGTATGAAAACATGTTTCGCCTTTTTATTCAAATTTTTATAAATTTTTCAACAATTTAATCTTACATGTCTGACTGGATTGTACTGTCATGATTTATCATTACTCAAACCCAACCCATGTCATTCTATAATGATATCATTCTGGCGCCTTGATGAATGAGCAGCATACTTATGATAACATCATTACACTACTTACGAATTGGCGTCTATTTGTCTCAATTTCAATAATTGATATGGATCAAAACTGTGGCGTTAGTGTATGTGAGATGTTAGTAGAAATAAAACGCACTAGTGACTTTTACATTTTTAATTCTACATAAGTGTACAACTTGTTTCTAATCTGGTCCAATCCGAACTAACTCGACTGAGACCACTTTATATCAGGACAACTAGCCACATAAAATGTCAACAAATTGTGTTTTACAAGTTATACGTAGAAACTATTTAATCTTAGTGCTCGCCATTTTTTTTAACCAATCACCGACGAGGATTTTTCAAATTTTCAGGTTTCAAATCTTAATAGAACAGATTTTATATAAACTGGACGTTTTATATTATAAAACGCAAGTGGGCGGATCACTAAGCCTGTTAGAGTGCATATTGGATGCTTCGCTTCCCTCCTTTTTAGCTTTCTTATTTACGAAGAACACCCAATATGCACTCTAACCTATACATATCTGTCATTTGACTAGTACATCTAGGCTGCTTTGCATATTGTCAGATATATCATGTCATGTTAAAAGTTCACATTATGAAAATAAATCTATGCATATACTCAAATCTGTGTTCGTCATTCATTTGAATTATATAAAATATGTATGACTAAATTAACGTTAAAGTGCAGAATGCAACAATCCTTCCTTTCTAATAAAATCTTTAAAAAAAATATATATAATGAAATAATGTCATTTTCTGTTTTGCATGTCCCTTACAAATTGCCACAGACAATGGATCAGAATTTACAAGTAATGCTTTGAAAGAAACTCTTTAAGAGTTACAAACTGATCACGTGCTTACAACTACCTATCACCCAGCTTCCAACGTGAAAAATGAAGGTTCTCACCATGTCATACATGATATCTTAGCTAAAAGAATCAAGGGAAATCTCAAACAATGGCATATTCATCTAGCAGCACTTCGTTTCAATGTATCTTGAACTTCGAAATATAGCCCATTTTATTTGTTACATAATCGTGATCAAATTCTGCCCGTTGACCTGTTATAACAACCAAGGCAACGTTATCATGGTGAGGAATATCACAAAATTGCCTTACAAGAACAACATAATACTTTTCTGTCTGTATATAAGAACCTTAAAAATGCAAAACAGCTAGTTATGCAGATTAAACCGCAGAAAGATATCAAATTTGAGGTAGGTGATGCTGTATGTCATGAAAACTTTCGTAAAAATGTAAATTAGATGCTAATTGGAAGCCATTTCATAGAATAATTGAGAAAAAGTCACCATTAACTAACATAATAAGAAATCAGCTTGACAATTCAACAGTAAAGGTACACGCAGAACAAATAAGGCTTGCGAATTTTACTGACTGGCCTCTACCTAAAACAGATAATACTAGTCGACCAAGAAGAAATGCCACATATGTAGTTACACCTGAAATAGCCATCCTGATGATACTTCAGAAATACCGGAATCAGTGTTGCCCGAAGTTGCTAAGAATGTAAGAAAGGAAAGGTGAAATTCTGATAGTGAAGATGATATTCCATTAGCCGAATAACAAAATCATCTCCGACAACAGCAACAAATTTTCAATTAATGACAAATTTAAAGTAATGCACAAGCAGAAGAAACAAATTCGCAGACTGGTTCAGAATTATCAGACTCTAATGCCATACTAGTAAATAGCAATCCTCAGTCACAAACAGTATAATTATAATGTTATTCAGTCAGATTCAGTGACAGATGATAATGATTCAGATAACAGAAATGTTTTTAAACTCTAATACAGCTAAAAAGAAAGGCATTGTTAAGCCGCAATATAAAGTGTCTGGTAAAGTAAATACAATGGCAAATAGTTATGGTAAAACTCAAAGCATAACAAGAACATTTTATTTCACTGTATATCTTATTTGCTTTAAAAGTTGTCGATGTTACATGTATATGCTATACTAATTTTCGGTAAATTGACCTCATGCGTTGTAAATAGTTATTAGAGAAAATACAATGTATATACATAAAAAAGAAACAAATAGAAAGGGAACAGAAAATAACATTACTTATTTAATTTTACCCATGACATATGGTGCTATATCAGTCAAATATATTTCATATTTTTAAAAAATAGATATGAAATATAAATATGAAAGTGGGTGGAGTCAAAACTCATATTTATTTTAAGGGACTTCTTTTGCCATTTTGCTTGAAAAATCTGATAAATACAAAACAACTTTTTGTTGAATTTCGATTTGAAAACTATCTAGAATGATAGAAAATGGTCTAACTAAGAAAATAAATCCGAACACCAATATCTTTAATTTATTCAGTCATTAACGCTGTACAGACGTGTAAAGAGTTGTTTACGTGACGTCACAATGTAGCGCTAAATATCGCGTGGAAAACAAGACAATAATTATATTATTGCGCGCTGTACAATTGCAGTTGCGTAGAAAGCAAAGGGGTTCATAACCATTTTTCTTTGATAATGAAATTAAATAAAAAGGTTATTTTTTCGTTTTTCGTGAAATATGAAATATATTTTCACTCAACATAATAAAATGCCACATATTTTCACTCGCCGTCCCGGCTCGTGAAAATATGTGGCATTTTATCATGTTTCGTGAAAACATATTCCATATTTCACTCAAACGAAAAAATATCCTCTTATTATTCATGAAATTATCTTTTTTAAAATATTTTTTATATGATAGGAAGGATTGTTGCATTCTGCACTTTAAAGTTACTTAGTCAAACATATTTTATATAATTCAAATGAATGACGAACACTGATTTGAGTATTTGCATAGATTTATTTTCATAATGTGAACTTTTAACATGATATGAAATATTTGACAATGTCGAAACAGCCTAAATGTACCAGTCAAATGTCGGATATAAATAAATGACTTTTACATTTTTAATTCTACATAAGTGTACAACTTGTTTCTAATCTGGTCCAATCTGAACTAACTCGACTGGGCTTTTAGACCACTTTTTATCATGACAACTAGCCACATAAAAATGTCAACAAATTGTGTTTTACAAGTTATACGTAGAAACTAAACTATTTTAATATCGAGGGGAAAAATAACAGCCAAATAAACATGAAGTCCCTATCCATTGTTTATTGGAAGTTAAACACCATTTTCTTCCTCTTTGTGTAGAGTGACAACATTACGAGGAATGTTATAATATAATTTAAATACCTTCTCTGACTCCTGCCAAAAGTTTCAATGAACCAAAGATACAGTCATCTGAGTTTTCCATGTCAAAGTAGTCGAATTCTATTTGTATTACATGACGAGGAAGATTATCATTACAAACCGCAACTGCCCACTTTTTGTTGTGTTTGTATTTTGATCCAGTGCATAAATTGATACCACTATTTATACTGTTTTCTTTAAACAAACCATCAGTGTCTGAAAGTAAATTTAACATGATAATTATTCATAAAAATAATGAACACTTGTAGAAAACGCAAAATTGAATATTGTCATAAAAGTACAAGACATCGTGTTCTTTTTTTTTCATTTTGTGACCATGTTTATTTAATGCATACAATAACTTAGCAATTAATTTAAGTTTTATTCAATTGTGCGTGCGCGTTTGTGGTTGTGTACATACACTTAGGCGTAAAAGGGCTAATTGATAAGTTACATAGCCTTTTATGTAAGGATATGGTATTTGGCGGTGAATTATCAATATAATTCCGTTACATAAACAATCTTTTAAGTGTTATATTAGTGGCCTAATATTACTTTAAATTTCTGTTTTCTTAAATTGTTTAACATCATAATTTGATCGCTGGCAGGTACCAAGTCTTCATCACTATGTGGAAACAGATTCAATAAATTCAAAGCCACTGTCTTAAATTGCAGCCATGGCAATCAAGACGTTCTCCGCATGTGAGGCGTAAGTTTACTTTTTTGTAATTATCTAAAAAGTGAAACATAATATGATTTTCTCCAACTAAACCCAAATTTGTAACCTTTCCAATTGATGGAATAGTATTTGCCTTCTTAATAATATAATAAAAAATAATACTATTTTTCAACACATTCCATTAAAAGCAATAACTTTACTTTGTATTAAATTGGAAATGATTTACGTTTCATAGACACATTTCTTTAAATTTAATACGTATCTTATTGTTGTTGTGTTTTATTAAAACAGTAAGCATTACCATCATTTCCCCTAACCGAAAAAGTGGTCGTTGATGATACAAAATTGTCCTCTACAAACATGTATTCTATTTTGAAACGTTCGCCTTTTAATTTAAGAGGATTCCTGTACTCAATAAACATTGAACTTGCACGGTATGGTTGTATTCCGAGATCACTATCACTACATATTGTACCTAAAGGTCTTCCTTCTGAAAATCATATTGAAAACAACATTAAAAAGAAAGAAATTGACTAACTTGAACGTTCTTAGACATATTTATTCATATTATACTATAATATAGTGCTAATTTGCAAAATGATATAGAAAGTGTTCACGTAAAGTTTTTATTGCAAAAAAGGTAAGACTAAACACAAAAAAATACTAGTCTAAGAAATTGTGAGCTGAGTTATTAAAGTTCAACGACATTTCCTGTTTTATTAAACACACTATAGAATGATAGTATTTTATAAAACTTACGTGTACTGTGTCCTTCATAAATGATTATACTTTCCTCCTCACAACTAGCTGAGCCAAAATCGAGCACTTTTAGGGTCAGCGTTATATCATTGTGTTTTGGTGCCTGCAAAACCTTATTTGCTAGCATCACACTTAATATATGTTTAATTTGTACGGGAGATGACATAGAGAAAGTTAAAATGTGATGATTACAAAATAAAATGTACAATTACTTTTTTTCATTTTGTTTTCTTTAAAACTGATATTTTTAATTTTTAAATGTATATATTTTTTCTCATCTAATAGTTAATCATACATCTTATGCATTCTTGCAAAACGGCATAATCTCATAAATTATAACCAATTGAAATAATTTTTATCAATATCCTGCTACTATTCACGTTTGTTTGTTTCATTTTACGCCTTTTCCCAACAGTATTTCAGTCATATAGGCTGGTAGTTTCCTAACCATCGTTCCTTGAGAGTTACACCAGTACTAGACTACCTTCCTCCGCGCTAAACTACCAAAGCATCTCCCGGGGATCGAACCCACGCCAGAGAGGTAACTAGATTAGAAGTCATCGACTCTAACCCCTCGACCACGGAGGCAGTTACTATCCACGTAATATTTACGTAACGACGTGTTAACTTATTCTGAGAGAGACAAAAAATTTTGAGTATTTTTAAAACCGAATACTACTAGTATTAGATAAAGTTAACATTGTATAAAATCACAGATGTAAGTCTGTCTAAATTACTGTTTCTGTTTATTAAATATAGTTATTTCACCTGTATTCGGTAAAAACAACTGTCTCCTGAAGTTTCTTTGTTCATTATGCTCGAATTATTGCCACTTAATATACTACCAATGCAAAAAGAGTCATCCGAAAGTTCTGCAAATAGGTGAAGAAAATTTTTTGTAAACAAGAAAAATTCACCAAGAGTATTTCAAATATCACGTCCAATGATCTTAACATGCCAAAATTATATCCAGTAAGATTCGCTTTCATACCTAATGATGAACATAAATGAAAGGTAAAGTGGTATTATAACGAGTGGAATGCATATTTATACCGACTGGGGGTTTATAGGGGTTCACTACTGTTTGACCAAAGGCTAAGAAATCATTTTAAACGAATATATTAAATAAAATATTTTGAAAGTAAAAATCCAGATATGTAATCACAATCAAATTAAATTATTACTTTTCACCGACTTAATGATGAATTTGAAACCCTTGTATTGAGTTGAATCGTCCGACTTGAATTGTAGTTGTACTATGTTTCCGAATGTGATATATGTCAATGGATCAAAACCACAGTGTCTGCTTATTGTTCCACCGACGCCCTTTTCTGTAATCTGTACATAGTCCGAACTTGCAAAATAATTACAATATAAATATATAACAGGAACTATAACATTAATGAGGAAGTATTTCACAGAAAGTTTTGTATTTATTAAATGCTTTTAGCTCAAAATATGACGTTATATATTATTGTTACATATTTCCAATAAAGGGTGATACTACTTCAGCTCCATACGGGAAGGCCGTAAGATTAAATAAACAAAGAGCAATTAATTAACCTATTAATTAACCTAAGGACACTCGTTTTTCATTTGGTGTAAGCGATTCTATGACTTATATAAGGCTAATATAAGATCACAGACATAAAATGCACTGGACGTTTCTTGTGGCAATTGCCGACGATGAAAGTAAACATACTGTCGGCATTTGTTTATATGCATTTGGTCTACTTATTCAAATTTGATACACAAAATAATTGAATATGAGAAAGGCGTTTCATACATTATTGACAAGATTCATGTTATTTCCAATAAATAATAAATAAATATTTTTTCACTGAATTTTTGTTTTTTAACAAATTGTTTTAATTTTTCAACTGGATATGTTCCTAGATTTGTCCTTGGTTAAATTGTTTTCGTGAAACAAAATTTGAACATTAATATATCTTTCTGAACAACAGTCTATGCATAAACGGAGAAGGAAATATGCATTAAAGAATAAACTCAATCGGGTCACACCGATGTTGCACATTCTTTGTTTTATTTTGCCTGGCCCAATATGAAATATAATAAGAACCATATTTCGTTGTTGAAATTAAATAAAGCACATTGTTTGATTGGTGAAACTAAATAAAATAGTTATTTTTACGTTCATACAAATTTACCACGTAAAAGTTCTTAATGTATACACTTATCTTTAAAAAACTCTTTTTCGATGCCTTTTCTTACAGCGAAGTAGCATTTTATTGCGAAAATAACCAGTATTATTACTTTGATTTGTGATATTAAAATCTATAACTGAAATACTGACTGCCGTAAAAATAAGCATCTGATATAGTAGTCCAAAACTGTATATATGAATTCTAACTTTGCTTGCTTTCTTATTGCATGGCATTTTTGCATAGCAAATATGAAGCATATTTGACTGACAGAACACGATCTTATCTTTTAAAGGTATAATCAAATAAATATAAGTACACACAAATTTACTATCATAGTTCCTAATATTATACAATCATCTTTTCGATGTTTTTCATAATGTTGTGTAATGTTGTGTAAAGACAAGAAGCGTTATATCAGATATTGAGCGCATCTAACATAAGAAAAGTATTGCTGACTTACATACAGTTCTCACTCTTTTCAATATTAAAGTAGTCGGATTTTAAAATCATAAAATGATCGTGAGCCGTCTTTAGTGTCCATGTACATTCTTCGGAATCTCTGAAATATATAGTGATCAATTTTTAAGTTCTACGTTTTACAGATCAATTCAGATTAGAACATTGCTTTGTTTTTATTGATCCAAACTATAAAAGAGAATAGCATGCTTGAACTAAGCTTAATGCTCTTTGTCTTTTTAAACGTATTATGTGCAGAGAAACATAAAAGATAAAACTAGAACTGTGTCCAAAGGACACGGATGCCCCCACTGACAACATATATATAGTATATAATGAACAAATCAACAAAGGGCCATAATTCTGTTAAATTTGGTCGCAGCAAAAAATCCTTCCTTTACTACCATTTACACATTAAGGTTGTTCATCCCTGGAAGTTTAAGCAAAATCTGCCATCCGGTTTAAGAGGAGTTGCGTTCACAAGATTTCGGGACGTACGGACGGACGGACGGACGGACGTACGGACGGACAAGTGCAACACTATATGCTCCCACTTTGTGGGAGCAAAACGATTTAAAAAAAATGAAAATTCTGTTAAAATAAATACATGTTGACCTATCATTCTTTCAATATACATGTAATACTATGTCAAATATAAATTCTTGTCACTATACACAAAGAAGAAGAAGAAAACAAAAGGAGTTAAACTGCCAATAAACACTGGTCAGGGACTAAATGTATATGTGGCTGGTATTTTTTATCTCCCTAACATGTAGTTCACATTTTTTGGACAGCAATAATAACACATTTTTATTGATATTTTCCGTCCTTACAATGTTTTCATTTCATACAATGCTAAAATAATATCTTACATACACTAACGCGACAGGTTTAATCTGAATTTATATGAAAATCGGCGTCAACTCATTCATAAAGGCGCTTGAATGACGTCATTTTAAACTGACAAGAATGATTAATCGATCACTGATGCAAACACAATACAATCCAGTCTAACACGTAAATTTTAAATATTGAAAACTTGATAAAATAAAGTTTTTTTTCTTAATATTTTTTTTGTTTAATAATTTCTATATTTCATCATCATCAGGGATCGAAATCGAACAGCGTTATACGACAATCGGCACCGGAAGTAATCTCCGCTTGAAAAAATAGCATTAGTCATCTTCCTTATTTTGTCTAAATCACCGGTTTGGAGTTTTGATGCTTAGAAAATGACCAAGAAGGTCATAGGCCTGAGTGGCTAATTTCTTTTCGCATTAAAACGACCGATATTATTTCTTAATTAGGTACCTTCCTGAAAGTCATATTTATGATATTGGTCAGAGCTGAAATACATGTATAATGCATCATGTTTATACTCTGCTTAAAATGATATAAAAACCTGGATAAAATATGATTCATTTGAAGCACCAATCACAACAAAATCACATGGAAATTGCAGACACAGTTTGATTGAATCTGCACAAGAAGGATAATGATAAAGTGCAACATCCCTCACGCCCCTAGCACAAGTTTTGGCGGTACACAATTTTCAACACTTAAAATTGTTGGAAACAATGCTCCCGAACAAAAAAAAAATAAAAAAAAATATAACAACAGTGAAGTGAAGGACGAGGCAGTTGTTTTCAGCTGCCACAAAGCACTTGACAGTTGCTGTTGTGATGTAAAATCTTGTTAAAGTGATCCCTCGGAAGCACTTATAACAATAAAAATGATTTAAAAATTGCTCGGTTTATTATGCTGCTGACCGTTCCAAGGCGGCGCCCCACTGTGTTCCTCAGATGTATGTCTATGTTGTTTCATACTGTTTTGGTGACACTTTTGCTTGTGTCCCTTGTTGTTTTCTTTCGTCTAGGTAAGAATCTTCCCCATTGCCTCTAGTTTTTATTTCTTTGATTAAACCCCCCTTCCCCCGGTCTCCTGTCCCCTTAGCCTTTGTGGGCCTATTATTATTTTCTTTGAATTCCTAATCAGTTACAAATTATTTATCATTTCATGATTAACGTGTCGTTGCCCTGTCCTTTTTATGTTTGGGGTCCGCCTGGGCTCCTTGCCATTGGTTCTTGTTGCTGGGTCATATGGGGGTTGCGTTCTTTGAACGCCGCCTTTCCTTGTTGATCTTGTTTTTCATATTTTAATTAAGTCTGTACATAAGGGATGATGAAAAATTGAGACATTCCATCAGCCAAGCATCTCGGATAAATAAGAATCTTGAAAAAGATTGATCCCTTTAAAATAAAGTAAACACCAATAAAATACAAGGTTTGACTGCTCCTATTCGTTAGAGATGCTATAAAATTGTAACACCTCTCATGCCTCTTACAGTACATTATACTAGTTTGCATAAACGCATTTTCATTATCTGATATATATTTATGTTCCCAGGATGGAAATTAGCCACACACTGGGGCCACTTAAAGAAATAAACAAACATGTACATTTCTATTGAAAATTTAAAGTATAAGTTAATAACAATTTCTTGCATAGGGAAACATATATATATATAATATATATATATATATATATATTATATATATATATATAATTAATATGAATATAAATGATACAGAAAATGCAAGAAACCCTTTGCTCGTTAAACCATCATATTTTAACTATTTATATTAAGAAAACAACATGTAGGCAAAATTCTATTTCAGAGGCGTCAAATAAACGCTCGTAATTCGCCACTTTAACTTGACATAAAGTCAATGATTAAAAATATGCACCGAGAAATAAAAGCATTATTCATCTGCTTGAAAAGAAAAAAAAATAGAATATATGACAATAACTGAAGAACTCGACAAAAAAAAAAACAAGTACCTGTAAAATTCTACGTCACTGTTCACTTCAGTTCTGAGCCGAATTTCCGCAACACCACCCATGAGTTCCAAATCAATATCACCGCCACACATTTCTATAAATAGAACAGTGCCTTCTAATATTTCAACATTCTTTACAAACGGCAGCGTTAAGTAAAATCCATAGCTGTAAGAGTGATTTGATTAATTCTGTTGTCACAAGGTTAATACTGTGTCACAAACCTAGTGGACAATTTAATGAGCATGTCTGAAGTCAATATTTTCCTCTTACTTCTCATACATTTTGGTTTTATCCAGCTCTGGTTTTAGGAATTATCGTTTGCAAAATTGAACAAAATTCGAAATTAGGCAACGACAAAGTTTTGTCTTAACGGACTGCGTGCGTAAAAGTCCTTGGTTGATCCATACAGGAGCTATATACAAAAAATTATAACGTCTGATACGCAAAAATCATAGATAAAATTTATTATCATATCGTAAGTCAGCAGTAGACGGCGAACATTATTTAGTTTTAAAATTGAAGCAAGACAATAAAAAGTAAACTTACCTTCTCTCTTTAAACGAAAATTCTGTTTTGCTGCTTTAAGAAAATTTGGAAATGTTACTAGAAGGGCAAAACACAAACAGTAAAATCCATACATCTTGATTTTACAAACACATTTAAATGATTATAATCCAAAAAACAAACAAACAACAACTGCAGTTTAACGAAACATCTGAAACTGTTTAATATATAATTGTTCAACTATATGAGAGTATATATAAATACAAAAAAAAAACAGGATGTGACCTATATATTTTCTAATGCAAAATATTTCATTAGATAGAGTTTACAGAGTAATAATAACTTAGGCAATAGAAAACCTCTTGTACTAATACCTTTTATCATAAAAGTAACTGAAGTGTTTGCTAGCTAAGCAGGATTACACATACACATGCCCTTCAATCCTTGTGAACGAAACATGAAATTTTATCGCTTAATTATATTTTCTAGTAAAGGTTATAATTAATTAAACTTATTTTCGTGCATTCAGATGATCTGCATTAAGATCAGCAGAAGCATGAAAACGCGTTTAGACTCTAATACGAAGGTGGCGGGAGATTTAATAATATTCGTCTTTTGGGGATTTCTTCTCCCTTTCTTTATCGGACCTTTGTAGGTGATTTTCTTGCTGTGCATGCTTATTTTTGTTTAAAAGTCTTCCTTTATGACATTTAGTACTTTTTTGGGTTTTCTTTTATATGTATTTACATGATCATTTCTGTGTTTGACTTATTTCACATTTTGTAACCAAAAAGGAACATGTTGGAAGAAAGAGTGAGGTTTGGTGCACCAATGAATTAATCATTCTCCCAAGCAGTGCATAAGCTGCTAGCTGACCATTCCAAGGCGGCGTCATTCTGTGTTCCGATAGAAAGAAAAAAAAACTATTTTGGGAGATATATTACTTATAATGCGACGAACTCTAGAACACAAGATCGGCTTTTTGAGGTGAAAAATTGCCTACCCAAGATATCACTTGAGTTTATTAGACTTATATAAGAGTTCTCGTGTCCTGTCTGTACCTTTTAAACCGGTTGGAAAAAATTGAGACTACCTGGAAAAAATGAGTCAATTTATTAATGTAACAACCTTTCTCAGGTTAATGTCACACTAAATCATTATGTATCAATTTAAATTTTTTTCCAGAGCTTAGATATTTGACATGTAGCATCAACTTAAATATTTCTACAAAATTTTTATCAAAATTTGCCCTACCCAGGGTCCCGAAACTCATTAACTTAAACTAGTCTAAGTTACAGGAAATGAAAAATGAGAATAAAGATTAATAAGGCAAGAGTGACGTTCACAGAACGCAGCATCCGACACAATTCAGCCATAACAGCAGGCTACCCAGAAGGCATCGAACCAAAGTCGGAAGAGGAGGCAAGAGCGGCGAAAGCAGGAGAGGGGCATTTAATAAGTGAAAAATTAGGAATGATTACAACTAAAAAGGGCCAATACTAGAAAGTTAAGCGACAAGGAGTGTAAGGGAAATTGGTAGAAATGGGCGGGCACAAAATGGTATAAGAGGGGAAATGGAGAGTAAATAACCTAAACGACAATTAAACAAAATTAGACATTTAAAACATGTAACAATACACACATGTAAAACAAATGAAGGAACACAAAAAGGTACGTCCTTAAAATGAATAGTAGAATTAACACTACTGGGGAGTTTAAACCGGTTTAAATTGCACAAAACCTCACTCTAAGACCCGATATGTACCTACAAGTTAATTAACTTCATCTTCATAGAAATTAGACTTGCTAATACCTTATCGTAAAAATTGTTTTTAAATCAAAATCAAATTTTAAAATTAAATTTGAAGTAAAATGTTTAGATTAGCAACATGAAGCAGTTTACATACTGCTTATGAGTCTATATTACTAGCGAACGTTTTATATTTATATAAAAAAAGCAGCATGCTTTAAAATAAGGGTATACAATATGAATCGCTTTAATACGAAACCATACGAAACAGTAAGAACATTATCAAAAATTGAAGTTTTATAGATGTAAAGAAGACCTATCCACTTGAACTCACAGACAGATATTTTGACTACGTAAGGGACGATATCCAAGGGCCTTTGAGGCATGTTTTATCAGTTTACAAGACAAACCAGCCCAAAGAAAAGATCTTTGCGTTTAGTTACAAATTAGGTTAGTTTTTCTACATTTCACAACCAATAAGACTAATATTTATCACTCACCTGAGAAATTATTTCATTACAGAAAGAAACAATTTTTTTTACAAAAATCAGTCGTAATTGATATGTATATTAACACTGAAAAGAAAGATTTGTTATTAAGTTTAGCCACAATATTTTTGTTATTTATTTAGATCCTGTTTTTTGACTTAATACGCCAAATTGTTGTTTTTGACGTCGTATCACGTATACGTTTTTTTCTATGGCCGAAACGTTGTTTATAAAAACAACAAAAAACAAAAACAAGCTTTTTTTAAAAATCTATACTGTACATGTAGTTGACTTCTGTATTTACATTCACTTAACAATGCAGAAGAAAATATCTTTATTGTTTCTATAATCTGGGGTCAACATAAATAATCCAGGATGGTGCAAATGTTTCCAGTTTTATTCATTTATAAAAAGTTCAGAAAAATGGCAGAAGGGCAAAATAGACGAATGCATGTGCAAGATGTCTTGGAACAATTGTTTGCACAAATGAAGGTGCATTCAGTCTCATTTTCTTGTTAAATATGAAATATTTTTGTCATGTTAAACATTGTTTCTTACATTTTAGATTTGCCAAATTAAAGCAGGAGAAACAACATGTTATGTTCCCAGGTGAAATAGATACACCTCAAGATCTTCCTGCACGTACACGATTTCAAAAGTAAGTATGTAGTACATATCGAAAATTATGTTAAAGTACAAAATGTTTCATAAGTATAAGGTTCTTTATTGAGTCAATAGGTAAGTTACAGTGACCCTAATCAGTCAGTAGGTCAAAGGTCAAGGTTACAGTGACCCTAATGAATTAATAAGTCAAAGTTTAAGGTCATGGTGACTCATCTGAGTCAGTAGGTCAAAGCTCAAGTGACCCTAATGAGTTATGAAGTAAAAGATCATGGTAACAGTGACCCTAATGTGTGATAAAGTCAAAGATTAAGGTCACAGTGACCTTCCGATATATAGTATTCATACACAGTCTGTGATATGTCACAAAGGCCAGGAACCCAGAGTGGAAAGCATTCCAAATTGCTGAGATATTTATTTACATTAAGAATTTGAATAAAGTTTTTAAATTTTCATCTACATTTATTGGCTTTCTGCAATTGTGTGAATTTAAATGAATTGATACTAGATTTTCAGAAAGATTAAAAATAAGTCATTAAAAATCCTGTAAGAGGAGTAAATAAATGAGCCGCATCACGACAAAACCAAAATAGTGCATTTGTGACCAGCATGGATTCAGAACAACCTGCGCATCCGCGCAGTCTGATCAGGATCCATGCTGTTCGCTATCAGTTCTCTACTTGAAATAGGGTTGGTAAGCGAACAGCATGGATCCTGATCAGACAGCGTGGATGCGCAGGCTTGTCTGGATCCATGCTAGTCGCAATCGCACTATGTTAGTTTTGTCGTGGCATGGCTCAAATATTTCATTGACCCTTTAAACTTAATGAATTAACCCTCTACATGTGTACATATCATTCCACTATTTGAATTCAATGACTGATAAATTGTATTTTTAGATATCGTGGATTGAAAAGATTTCGTTCATCACCGTGGGATGCAAAAGAAAATTCGCCATTTGACTATGCTAAAATTTTCCAGTTTAAAAATTTTAAAAGAATGACAAGAAAGATTTTGTACAATGATATTGAAGAAGAGGAACTTGATAGTAGTGTCTTGGTAAATATTCTTTTTCAAAAATTTCATACAGTCCTTTCTTGCTTGAAATCTTATTGATGATGCCTTGAAAAATGCTTTTTGTTCACAAGAACTGAAGGTTAAGATTCATAAGAATCATAACTTGTTTTTGCATAATTTTAGAGTTATTGCCCTTTGTAATTTTTCATGCTTAATTTTTGTCAGGGGCATAACTCAAGAATTTTAGGTGCCGTCAATTAAAGCTTCATACAAGGATAGATTGTAAAAACGAGATTTGGTTTTGCATAAATTTGGAGTAATTGCCCTTTATAAATTTTCACACTTAATTTTGGTCCAGAACATAAAAGAACTCCACTGAGGTCAAAATACCTAAAAGCATAAAATTTAAAATTCTTACATAGATCAAGTAATACATCTAAAACAGAAAAAAATCTTTAATAGATGAAAAAGAAATGCACTCGGAAATACATTGAAAATTCACAGTTAAATATCAAAATATAAGTTCACTGTCCACTGAAAATCACGTAATAAATTGATGTAACAGGTTTACATTAATATAACAGCTTTATATCAGTATTGTATAACCAAACATCTTCAATTCAATTTGTTTAATGATGGTGTTACTTTATCTTTCAGGCATGGACATATGTGAGGTTACATATAGCAAATGTTCCTAAATCATTCATGGGTGAGTTAATACAGTCTTTACTTTTGTACCATCACAAATTTTGGTTAATATACAGATTAAAGAATTAAAACTAACTACAAACCAGTCTGTACAAAGGTGTTGTTTTCCGTTTGGAACTATAATAAGGAAAATAATTTTATTTTGAGAGATCTGTGTTATACATATAGCACGGTATGGAGTTCAGATGTGCAGTAATACATATAATCACGAAGGTCGAAAACCTGAATGATTAATTACAAATATCTGAAAGTAATCACATGTGAACTCTCCCATTTTTAGCGGGAGTCTCCCATTCCACTTTCTGCAGCCTTATTTTTAAAGATTTTTCTTTAAATATGGTGTATTTTCACAAATTAAAGAAATCTCACTCTTTTTGATGTCAGAACTTTATTCATTGTTTATTGCAAGTCTAAAATCTCCCTTTTTTGAAGGAGAATCTCCAACTTGATCATCTAAAATAGTTCACATGTATGGAACATTTGATGATTTGAACATGCTACAATATAGTATCAGTATTCAGAAATTTATTATCAGTTTGGAAAAGGTTACATTGTACTTTTCATTAAAATATAGAAATTATTACACATAGAGATTGTCTTAGTGTGTTTGGAGGTTTTAAAGATAATATGTTTTTGTGTTTTACAGACAAGCATGAGACTGGTGCACCAGTTGTTGTATTTGGTTTGTTACCACATGAGCAGAAAATGTCCGTCATTAATTTAGTTCTTCGCAAGTCACATGACCTGTGTCGACCAATCAAATCAAAGGATAAACTTATCTTCCACATTGGTTGCAGACGATTTACAGCTAATCCAATATTCTCTCAACATACAAATGGCAACAAACACAAAGTATGTTTTATAATTCCTACAGATATTTATATTTTACATTTTTATTTTACATATCTTTATCTGATGTAAATTAATGATACACATAATAATGTGTGTTTGCATCAACTTGTTAGATGTTATTAAAATATAGAACTGCTACATTATTGTTGCATGTGACTTCTTTTAATAGAACAGTTTAAAATTTGCTATGACATTTTGAGGGGGATCATATGATATGTATATCTTATACAGTGTATTTAGTTATCAGATTTTTAGCATATTCTATTACCTCTTAACTTGTTTTTTTTTGATGATGAACAATTTCAAGAAAAATGTTATTAAAGACAAGATAATATTGCAGTTTGAGAGGTTTATGTTATATTACAGTGTGAGAGTTTAATATTATGTTACAGTTTGAGAGGTTAATGTTATGTTACAATTTGAGAGGTTTATGTTATTTTACAGTGTGAGAGTTTAATGATATATTACAGATTGAGAGGTTTATGTTATTTTACAGTGTTAGAGGTTTATGTTATATTACAGTTTGAGAGGTTTATGTTAGTATACAGTTTAAGAGGTTAATGTTATATAACAGTTCGAGAAATTAATGTTATATACAGTTTGAGAGTTTTTTTTGTATATTGCAGTTTCAGAGGTTTATGTTATGTTACAGATTGAGTGGTTCATGTATATTTCAGTTTGAGAGGTTTATGTTATATTGCAGTTTGAGAGGTTTATGTTATATTGCAGTTTGAGAGATTAATGTTATATGACAGTTTGAGAGGTTTATATTATATTACAGTTTGAGAGGTTTATGTTATATTATAGTTTAAGAGGTTTATGTTACATTACAGTTTGAGAGGTTTATGTTATATTACAGTTTGAGAGGTTTATGCCCCAGGACACAGATGTTGTTGCTACATTATTTGCACCAATCTCCTTCCCTCCAGCACCAGTACTTGTCCTCCAAGATAGACCATTTGGTAAAGAAAACATTTTAATTACTTTAATAACTGTCCTGCCTGCAAGTACCTCTCTTGTATAGAGAATGTGTTTTCCCAGATAGTTTAAGCATCTTTACAATTTGCTTGTTTCGCTGTCCATTTAGCTTACCAGTGGTCGGTGGTTATCAACTCACATGCTTGCTTGTGTGTGTAAAAATACACAAATGGGCACCTGCTGTCTTCTTCCATCTCTCAAGTTGGAAAGTTGCCATAAGACATTTTCAGTAAATACATATGAATGAAATCATGTCCAAAACAAACTCAGATGTATGTTTTAAGACAAAACTGTATTTATAATAGTTAATGTACATGTTTTCAAACCTAAGTGTAAATTTGTTTTTCATTTTCAATATCATACCGTAATAACCTATATTTGTTCATATCATCTATTGAATGAAAGCACTGTATCGTCATCAAGGTTTATGAAGGAAAACACTACTTCCCACACATTCATATCTTAGTATAAATCTAATATCAATAATTTTACATTTTAGGTGAGATAGAACTGGTTGCTAAGGGATCTTCATTATCAGTAGACCCAGACAGAACTGTGGTTAAACGTGCTGTACTTAGTGGCCATCCTCTAAAGATTCACAAGAAGTCTTGTGTAGTCAGATATATGTTCTTTAATAGAGGTAAGTCCAGTGTGACCATTATTGTCAGATATATGTTCTGTTCATTAATATAGAGAAGTGATATTAGTGATGTTGGAAATCTGTAATTTTGTCAATTAATCCTAGTTAGAAATTTATAATTCATATAAGAAAAAGGATCATGTGATGTTATTTTGATGTCGTGGCAATCTATACCCTATTGTTGTAAAAATGCAGTAAGAGAAAAGTGGGGGACATATATGATATTAACAGTCACATAGAACAACTTAAGATAGGGGAGATATTATATTGTCCTTCAATAAGGAATGAAAAGTTATAGATCATCATGATAGCTGTTTTATTATCAACATACACTGTTACAATTAACATAACCAGTCAACTAAAATAACTTAATAAAATAATCATTTCTTATTCAATGTTAGTGACAAGAAAGATTCTTTATATTTTCAGAGGATATAAACTGGTTTAAACCAGTAGAGTTAAACACGAAATGGGGTAGGAGAGGTCATATTAAGGAACCATTAGGTATACATTTATAGTATAATTCTAAATCTGTTTAAATCAGACTCCTGGCCTGTATGGCCATCTTTGAAAGTGTGCTTTAACTTTAACTGTTTGAACTGATACACTAGCCATTGTCACCAGTATAGAGCTAGTGCGGTATGACCAGTCGTTATGCTGTTGGTTGACAGGCTTATTTTTTTATTATCTAGATATCCCCTGAATATGATGATTGACAATTCCAGAATAGAAGCTGGACAAGTTCATTTAAGTGGGTTAAGGGTTTGTTTGAATTATTTAAATATTGTGACTTGTGAGGGTTCCAAATCACGAAGGAACACCGACTTCTTTCTTTGATGAAATTGTAAAAGACTAGTGAAACTTTTATAATCTGCTTGTTGCTGGAAAATGCATTTTGAGTGAAATAATGCGCATAAGGACTTCCAATGTCATCCACCAATATAGCTGGAGTATAGCCATACATACATTACTCAGAACTCTCTGACAAAATCCAAATTAGCTGCATGACAACATCCAAATTTATGAAACATGTTTGAAGTTTAATCCATTAAAAACAGTTAGGGTTATGATTTATTTAATATTTGGTCTGGTGTACTGATTTCTGATATGTTTAGGTGATACTATTGATTCATATCTATCAATGAGGAAGTGATAAATCACATATAACTATCGTGTGCTTTTTTTCAGGAACACATGGACATATGAAGTGTGTATTTGATGGACAGTTTAAGTCACAAGATACTGTTTTGATGAACCTGTACAAGAGAGTGTTTCCAAAATGGACCTACAGTCCTGTAGTAAACAGACCTACAAGTATAGCAAGGTCATCTAACTATGTTTCCATGGAAACCATAGACGAGGAAGATGAAGAAAAAGAAGGAGCAGCGTTTGCCATGTTCGATTAGATATCTGAATATTTTATTGAAGACATTTTGTTAAAATTCCTAACTAATGCAAGCCTTGGCTTTTGTTTACCGGAGATTTGTTTAATAGATTTTTGTTATTGAAATATCGGAAATTTTTATTTCACAACAAGAAAACAAATATGAGAGAAATAAAATCTTTTAATGAGTTTTGCTTGTTGAACTTTTGACTGTCTTTAGCAACCAGTGACTCTCCCTAGGAACAAGTGAGTTTGGTGGCAGCCAGACTTTTAAAAGTAACTAGTAACTTCCATAGAAGTAATTACTTTCCGTAGCAAAAATTGATTTTCCATAGCAACCATTCACTTTCAATAGAAACTTGTATTTGTTCATTTCCATAGCAACAAGTGACTTTCCATAGCTACCCGAGACTTCCTTATCAACTAGTGATTTCAATTGGAACCATTGATTTTCCAAAACGACAGATGTATTTCATAGCAGTCATTGGCTTTCAATAGCAACCATTATCTTCCCATAGCAAACAGTAAATTTCTAAAGCAACCTTTGACTTCCAAAGCAAAACCATTTGCTTTTTACATAGCATCCAGTATACACCATAACAATTGTTGACTTTCCATAGCAATGAGTGAATCTACCATGGACTTTCATTACAAAGAAACCATTAAGTTTGTCAAGCAACAATTGATTTCTCATTTAAAAGTAACTATTGATTTCTCTAAGCAATAGCAGCCACATTTTCAGGTGCAGATATGAATTTGTGGCATTAGTTTAAGATTTTTGTGGTATCAGTTTCAGATTAAGACTTCATATCTGCTTTTAAATTATAGTTTACAATATTAATTGTTCCTTGTATAATTACGTGAGCAAGGTAAGATCCATCATTCCCCTCTTGTAATATTGACAGTTTTCAATTCATTGTCCTAACTCAAACTAGTAGTTGGGGTGCTGATACCATACTGACAAATTTAAGATGATGATGTTGTTTAGGGAAACAAAACATTATATAAAATTCAATTCAATTTTCAATTCAAATTTTATTGGTATTATAAAGAAGGCCTCCGACCCAAAATACATTATACAATATAACATCATATGTCTAAGATTGTGTAATATTATTATACATTTCTTGTTTCATAATGGCTTGAACAAAAATGCAACTGATCTTATTTTATCATCACCAGAACACTGCATATATAAAATAAAAATCTACACATTCAACATTAAATTTTGTAACATTTAAAGAAAACATGAAATTCATCTTCAATGCCAATACAATATATAACAATATTGACAATAACGAAAGACCGATCTGACGTCCAGTTTAAAAATTAAAAAAAACTATGACTTGAACAACGGAATGTTGCAAATGCTTTTCTTACATAAAATGGTAGATAAATACATAAATATCTTTCAGGATTTAACATTAAAGGTAGCTTTGAATTGTTTAAATGCATTATAACGAGACGAATCATGTATCTGTTGACAACAGTTTTGATATTTACAATCAACAAGTCTTTGTTTAAAGCAAGACAGAAACACACTATTATCACCAATAGTTTGGTTTAACCAAACAAATCCAGAGCCATAACTATATAACAAATATCTTATAGAAGACCGTGTGTATATATAATAGATTTTAGAAGACGACTTGGAAAGGTTGTTAAGGGAATAACTTTAGTAGCACAAATACATATACATAAAAAGAAATTATCTCTGGTGAAAAAAGACTAATTGTACAGGTAATAGTATAAATATACAGTGTCAAATCATGTTTGAAACAGTTACAAATAACCTTTCATTTTCCCAATATACTGAACATTTTGTAAGACAATTTTTGACCTTTAAGTGTGGCCTTAACCTTAAGCTGGCACAAGGGTAAGATGGGTTCTGCACATTGCCAAGTTGGGATGAACATTTGAGTAAAGTTTGAAGAAAGTCCCTCCATTAGTATAGGATTTATAGAGCGGACACAACATATTGTCTAATATTTGATTGTATGTAAATTTGAAGACTTAAAAGAGGGCATAACTTTGTCAAAATGCAATACAAAGTTATGAAACTTGACCTGCATATTTTATTTGTGACACCTGATATATCTTTTTTTAAGTTTCAAGCAAATACATGTAGTTTCAGAAATATTCAAGTACATGTTAAAATTTAAGAACATTTTCTAAGTCAATTTTTGACCTTCGTGTGATCTTGACCTTTAGCCGGCACAATGGTAACATGGATTCTGCACATAACCTTGTTGAGGTGAACATTTGAGTAACGTTCGAAGAAAATTCTTCCATTAGTATAGGATTTATAGAGCGGACACGACATATTGTCTAATATTTGATTGTATGTAAATTTGAAAACTTAAAAAGGTGCATAACTTTGTTAAAATGCAATAGAGTTATGAAACTTGACCAGCATATCTTTATTGTGACACTTCATATATATTTTAAGTTTCAAGCAAATACCTTTTCTAGTTTCAGAAATACATGTATTCAAATACATATTAAAATTTAAGAATATTTTCTAAGTTAATTTTTGACCTTCAAGTGCGACCTTGGCCTTTAGCCGGCAAAAGGGTGACATGGGTTCTACACATTACCTTGTTGAGGTGAACATTTAAGAAAAAGAAAATCTTTCAATTAGTGTAGGACTTACAGAGCAGACACGACATACTATCTAATATTTGATTGTTTGATATTTGACCTTCAATCATTGTCCTTCAGCTGACACATAGGCAACATGGGTTCTGCACATCCCCTTGTTGAGGTGAACATTTGAGCCAAGTTTGAAGAAAATCCTTCTATTGGTATAGTATTCATAGAGCGGACCCGAAAATGGTGACGGACGGACGACCGACCGACCGACGCGACAAAGCGGATTATAGCCCCCAACATTTTGGGCTGTGACTAAAAATAGGATTGGAGCACCACACTAAATACCGTATTCCGGTATGTACCGGACAAGGCGCTTGAATGATAAAATGCTAAAATCTTGTCTTTTTACCCAACGGAATGAACTTTTACAGGTCTAATTCATCTTTTCACACCGAATCAAGTACGATAATCAAGGAAAAATGTAAAATTCGGCGAAAAAAACGATATTTGTCTATTTTGTGATCATGATTTCTGCAAGCGTCTACAGGTACTGCTCAAATCCTGTATTGAGCTTAATCCAACATTTTGTGGTGGGGGTATAATGATATTTATGGAGGGATAAGATATGGTAATGACACTGGATCACAATATTGATAGAGGGATAAGACATGGCAATGACACTGGATCAACAAAATAGACTGAGGGATAAGACATGGTAATGACACTAGATCAATAATATTGATAGAGGGACAAAACATGGAAATGACACAGATCAATAATATTGATAGAGGGATAAGACATGGAAATGACACTGAATCAATAATATTGATATGAAACTTTTGGAGGACAGGATAAAAAAAATAATAAAAAATAAAATAAACTGTTAGTATTTATTACATGTTTTGCAGTAGATTACTGAATTATATAGAGGATATTTGTTTGTTTTGCATGTAAGATTGAAATATAATTTCACTGAGTGAACACCAGATGTAATATTTTCACGAGTGGCGTAGCCACGAGTGAAAATATAATAGCTGGTGTTCACGAATGAAATATATTTCAATCTTATATGTAAAACAAATAAATTTTCTTTTTATTTCATGCTTTTTAAGCGATTTTAAGTATTTTTTACTGATTTTGCCGCGTAACGTCGCGCATTCTCCTTTGTGACGTCATTACATCATGACGTCACATCATCAATTTTGAAATATAGTTCTGTTTAATTTCTCTAATTTTGTTTCACCTTTAACATGATGTATGGTGACATCGACTTTCTTTTCATAAAGAAGCAAAATTTACGTAAGACGGCATTTTTTTCTGCCTGTTATTCCATTTAGTTTGATTTTCTTTTCATCCGCATTCAGATATAGTCCGGCTACAGTGAAAATTATATTTTATAAATTTCACTAGTGGTTTATCAGAATATAATCATCTGATATATTACAATAAAACACTGGAAAGCATGAAATAAAACGATTTATTATATTCTGATAATTTCACAGTAATGATTACCAAATATAATTTCACAGTAGCCGAACTATATTTGGTGTAAAAATTAAATATTTATCATTAATGAATGTTTTTTTTCAGCGGAAATGTAGTCAATCATAATAAAAAATGTACGTGATAACTGTAGTTCGTAAATATTTACGAACGTTGTGCTGAAAAACATCTAAAATCTAAAAATAATCATGGAATTATATTTTGCTTCAACATTGTGACGTCATTATTTGATGACGTCATGAAGATAAGAGCATGACGTTACGCGGCAAAAATCAGTAAAATGGTGCAAAAATCGTTAAAAACTCATGAAATAAACAGAACATTTGTTTGTTTTACATGTTAGATCAAATAATATTTCACTCGTGAACCCCAGCTATTATATTTTCACTCGTGGCTACGCCACTCGTGGAAAATATTGCTCTGGTGTTCACTCGGTGAAATATTTTTCGATCTTACACTGAAACAAACAAATATCCTCTAGAGCGATGTCGGGTATATTGGGACATCTAAGGCTTATTTGTTACTGTGATTTTAAATATGCTTGTTTCAGTACTGGCATTGGATACTTAGGTTAAGCTCTGTTTGACTATCGTCTATAATGGGCCACTGTCATATACCCTACAACGCTCTATATAAATGAAAGTAAAATCATCTAAAAAACCATCCGGTCATGATTATTATATAATGTTATTATAAACCATTGTTTTCTTCTAACGTTCTTTTTATATTATCTCATCAACTTCAAAATTTATACTATAAATGTAATGTGAAAATCTTATGTCTCCTTTTATTAAATCTTATGTCTCCTTTTTGATCTTATAAAATGTTTAAAGATTTATTGTATGATGTGTATTTGCATGCTTATGTATGATTATATGAATGTATGTTTCGTTGATATATTAATAAATGGGGTTCCACATTTGTGGACCTGAAGCAAAAAAAATAAGATTGATAGAGGGATAAGACATGGAAATGACACTATATCAATAATATTGATAGAGGGATAAGACATGGAATTGACACTGGATCAATAATATTGATAGAGGGATAAGACATGGAAATGACACTGGATCAATAATATTGATAGAGGGATA